TCGCAGCGCTGGATTGCGGACAAAGAACGTCATTCCTTCGTTGGATGATGAAGTTGCCCTCGAAATCCAAAGTCTGGTACAAGATATTACCCCAGAAACCCAAGCTCTAATATCCCGCATTCACGACACAGCCGAACGGGCATACGCTAAAAAGTCTCGACGAAAGTTGGAAGTGGCAGAGGTTGCAGAGGATGACGAGCCCATGGATTCTTTGTCAGAGGTTGACAGTAATCCATCAGACGATGAAGGTGAAGATGACGACGAGGCTGATGAGGAGACAAGGGAAGCCTTAGCTGCGAAACGGACCCGTAATTTGCTTTTACTAGAGCAAAGCCTATGCCAACTTACTGGCAAGATCGTCCTTGCCATTGTTGGCTGTGTACTTGATTCGTCCGGGCGAAAAAGTGGGAAGCTGAAGGAAAAGCTTTTACGGAACAAATCTCGCCTCGGGCAGAATTACAAGGAAGTTGTGGCGTATTTGGACGTTGCGAAAGCTACTGGTAGAAGGCTTGTTCCGCTAAAAAGCAAAGCGAAGCAGGCTCAGGGAAGAGGAACTAATGGTATTGGACCTTCGGGAGAATCGTTAAAACAAAACTACGGGAAGAACTACGGGAAGATGAAGTCGGCAGAGATAGTTGAGGACGATGAGGAGGAGGAAGAGGAGGTGGTGGAAGGTGCGCATGCAGGAGAAGATGAGGACGAAGATTTACAAACAAGAGAGCTGGCTGATGATGAAGATGAAATGCATGGCACAGAAGTGAATGAGGATTTGGAGCTGACTCCCCCACCTGATGATATTGAAGATGATGTGATGGGAGATTGATTTTTTAACGGACCAAAAAAAACAAAGGGGCTAGGAAAACTGGAGCTCAGACTGACGGATGGTCGTGCGTTAATATATGATGAATCTTCTTTTTTCCCACCTTTCCTTGATTTTCTTTCTTTTTGCACACTGGACATTTTTTCCTATCTTACTTCTATTAAAACGTGTACTTCAGCTTGTACTTAAATTTTCTGTTCATGTTTGTTTTTATTATTTATTCATATGTTTTCGTCATTGTATTTTCCTGCTTTTTCCAAATTCTTTTTTTCCATGCACCCGATGTCTGAGCTTTGCTTGAATTTTGACCTTTGAGAGCTTTCCACGTATAGTGTTCACGAATATATTCCCCCTTTTATGATGTGACTTATATACTGATTAATTCGCATGTATTTGTTAAGTTTTGTCAGAACTCTTTACCCTTTATATCGGTTCACTACCTAGGCAATTATCTGTCTCCGGTAAAGTCCATATTGAGCACCCATATGTTAAGCCACTTCTCACATCTTTGATCTCAGTCGAAGTTATTCCCCACCACGCAAATAAGGATGCAAGGATGCCCCAGGCGATTCTTCATTGCAGGGTTTCATTGAACGGTCATATCAAAGACGCTGAAAGTTTAATCTGGTCCGAAAATCTGACTCGCCCAACTTTCAAAAAGCCCCGGGACCGTTCTACTAACTACATCTACCACGTTGGGCTTGATCGTGTATCTCATATCCTTGATTCCCTTCTCAAAAGAGGATAGAAGCAACTATCTGCATCTGATATTTAGCTAACTCTTAGTGGTTAGAGGTACCTTGCGAATGAGCTCTCATATGTTGTATTCGGTTACTTGCCGAACAGCGACCTGAAAAATGGGCGCTTAACTTGCAGTTTTCTCCAAGCTGTTAACTACACCTCTAGCTCTAAGTTGGGTTTTTATATTACCCTTCAAAAAGGTCCTTGACGTGTTACGGCAATTCGCAAACCATCCCGTTTCAACCGCCAGATCACCGAGATTGTTTGGGATGACACACGACTGCACATCGACGAGGTACAGCTAAATAATAGAGGTAACGCGGCACTACACCTCGGACAACTTAATATCCACACACGATATGAAACCCTCATAGAGGCTAACGAAAACTAATACCACGCTTCGTTTGCTGTTCTCTTCTCAGGGAAGTTATTGAGCTGTATGAACACTTGAGCGAATGGGAACGCGCTGTTCTCCTTCTGATACGCCCTATATATGAGCAAGACTCAATCCTCGAATCGTAAGAAAATGTTGTCACCTTCAATTTTGCCCTCCAGGCGTTTCCACGGCTTCGTCGCAAAACTATCCCTAGTAACTGGCTCTTGTTTTGCCCTCAGTTACGCAGATAAATCACGTTTCCCATGCGCTTCCCAATCCCTCCATGGATGGTTAAACCCTGAAATTGTTCCGTGGTGGAGGCAAGTGTATGATACACATCTGAGCCTACACCGCGCTCTTACTCTGCCGCCGTTAGAGAGCTATCCAGGTCTTCCCGTACTACATCTGAGTTTATCGTCACTCCTATCTGTCACGGTGTCAATCTGGCTCACGGCTCTCAGCTATTCAGTAACCAAAATCGAGATTTCAAGTACTTTATATGAGAAATCCAGTAACCACGTTGGAATACGTATTGGATCTTTCCAGTGACAAGTTTTTTGGAATTTTGGGATTGGCCCCATGTTCATAGAAACACTGTTCGAATGACCCTTTTGAATGCACAGGTGCTCGAACACTTCGCACTGAGCAACAATATTGAATCGTCTCGCCCTGCATTTCCTGACCCCACAATACCATTCTTGGACATCCTGTCCATCGAACGACGGCCAGATTTGCCCTCATTTTCAACTACGCTGTTATGTTCTCAAACTGCGCGATTTCTTCCGCGATTTCTTCCTCTTCTTGTCAAAGTTACCTCCTACAATTTCTTCACTGGAGTTTCACATGGTCCTCTTCTACAATAGCACTTGGGAAGATGTGTTTATCCGTCTGCGTGACAGACTCAAATACAGTTCCAATCCCCACTGCCCAATGCCAGCCTTGACTGTCAGCTTATGACTGTTAGACTCGGATGCAAAAGTGGTGATGCTTCGCGATGAACTTAAGCAGTTCTTTGAAGAGAAAGCTCCGAACACGTTTACCGCTGTACACAACCCCCGCCTAATGTGCACTTCCCAGCATTTAACCACTGAATATTCGGTACGACCAAGATATTATTTATTTTCAATAATAGGATGTTTGCCGGAACTGCTCTGTTTCCATTGGCTAGGGAGTCACATTCAAAACAAATTTGCCTTCGCGAAAGAACCAATACTTGGACTGAAGGGCTTCAATGCAAGCACCCCTTGCGTTCTAACTTCTCGAATGATTCTTAATTGAGGTTGTTTGCCTATGGGATCAGGGTCTGTGAGGAGTTTTTCTTTGCAGTAAGAAATTGGCAAATCCCGTTACTAAAGAAACCTTGTCAAATCGGTTTTCCGTTCTAAATCGAGGTATGTGAACGGACAAGTATGACCGTCCTGATAATGTTGATAAATTGGATTATGAGGTGGTTCAATGTCCAGCATTCAGTTTGTAGGACCGTTTAATTTATACATCCTACAAGGTTGGATGCAAGAGCACAAAGCCGTTTTTTTCCCGCTGTCCGATTTCAAGGAATATTTCTGCTGCCAGATGGTCCGGTCAGGTCGGTACATAATTCTAAACGAACCGTGAGACAAAATTCCTCACATGAAAAGATAATCAAAAGATGATGTTGATTGAAATAAATCGCTTTTCGGGCTTCTTTTAAAAAATGGTGGCTGAAAGAAATCCTTTCGTGTAATCCGGACATCCATAAATGAATTGTCACCTTGCATCTTCTCCTTTCAGGCTCTCGTTCATCTCTAATATACCCAGGTATTAAATCAACACCGTCGTGTAAAGTTGATATTTAATTTTTTCTCTTTTGGAGAACGCAATTGATCTAGTAAGAGCAATGAGACTCCCATCTCCATCAAATCTGCTATTCCTATAGCTGACTACGCCAAGCAGTCAACTCTAGCGGAGGATATTGAAGTCAAAGATCTTCAACGCACTCCCCTCACTTCGCCACGAAATTTGAGGATTTGAGCCGATATTTCCTCTCGAAAGTATGCATCTCAGGGCAGTGTTTGTTGCAGTGCTTGCCGCAGCTCTGTCCATGGCCGCTGCGCATTCTCAACCGAGTTCGCAGCGAATCGAATGCGTATAGGACTTTTGTTCAAAAAATGGCAAGCAGTTGTGTGAGCCAGGTTTTGTGAACTTTTCCCTCTCTTTCCTCTGTTTTCTTGTCTGCCTTTCGCGCGCTTCCGATTACTCTGTAAAGGGTAAGAGGGATATATTATGCTGATATCGGCCTCTCACTTTATCTAGATTTTGATGTACCGTCGGGTAAGTCTATGCCTTGGAACCTGGATGAAACCAAAATGAGCATGAAAATTTATCTTTTGTTCCAGCATATATATGCCAGTGGGAGCGTTTACTAAATAACATATCTACATTCTTTAGAAAGACAAATGCTATACACTAGTTTACCGGCGAGCCAATTTGGTCTGTTGGCCTCTTTTCGTTATCCATTTCTGCTCACAATGAGATTTGGAAAAGCTGTTTAACCATTATGTAAAAGAACATTATCTATGGCTATGTTTCCTCAAGAATGACAAATCCTTGGTTGCTGGTGACGAGCAGGGGATTCTTGTTTCCAAAATGGATATTGAATATGAATGAGATGGAAAATTACAAGAAAACTTTATACTACTTATGCCGTTTGAAACTGTTTGTGGCTTCTCATCTTTCGTTAAATTTGTAATACCATCAAGAGGTTTACGCCAGGATGGAAGATAACCACGAAACCGAGTCTCCTACCTGCTGGTGTTGGTGCAGGTGATGGAGTTAGTCGACGAAGTATCCACAGTCTCTCGACAATTGGATACAACATTAGCAAGTATCTATCTTCCGATGGAACTTTCAGGGCATGCATTGCCTCATCATTCGCCGCACCCGACTACCTTATAGTGTGTCCATTCAAAGAATATGGAGATTTTGTAACAACCCATTACGTGCTGCTCTAAGTCCTTCTTCCTCCTCCTAACACCTGAATTTTTTTTTTCCCGCTATATTTTTTTTCTACCTACTGAGAAACTCTCAATCATCAGGATCATCAGATTCACTGCTGTAATCTGAATGTAGCCACTGTAATGGTTCAGGTAGCGCGTCCTCGAGTGCTAGCGATAGTGCATCATCAGCAGCAAACCCCTTCCGGACTCCCGCGGTCGCATCTCGAGATATGAGCCATCGTAGGACGACTTTTGGTCCATTATCCACCACACTTTGAAGAACAACATTGCTGATATTGGCTCCTTTGTCGAGCAGGAAACCAAGTGCAGAGGTTGACTCATTGCTCACTGCTATGTCGACGGCGATTGGGTTGAGAATGAAGCCATCTGAATCGGAGGCATGCTCCAGAATCAAACCCATTATTTCAGATTCGTTGCCTCTAATCGCCTGCAAGAAGCATGGTTGTAGTTTGCGGTCACATAGTTTTCCCTCTCCTTCCAAGATGATCTTGGCGATCCCCGCATTGGCGGTTCTAATCGCTATTGCAATGGCCATACGCTTGTCATTGGGATTGCGTAGACCACCTCTCTCTACCATGAGACGTACGAAGTCTTCATGGCCAGCCATGAGAGCCGGAGCGATTACCGAAATAGAGTCGATTGTCTTTGAATCAGGGTCCTCGTCGTATTCATCGAGGAGTTTGCGGGCTGTGTGGACATTGCCCGTCTTAGAGGCTTGGTAGAAGATGGAGCTGGTATCCGCACCCAATCTCTCAAGGATGCGTGCATGCAGACAGTCGGATGTTGTAGCGTCTACCAATGACCTTGGATCCCAAAGTACCGGGTTGAGTATGGAGCAAAAGTGGCGGCTCGTTTGGATGAGGGAGTTTAGGTCTGGCGTCACAAGCTCAAAGGCAAGCTCGTAAATGAGCTCGATGGGTAGGGAGGAGAGAGACATGGCGAGTTACTGGAGTGTTGTATGAGTGATAGTTGTATGGGTTTTGGGACTTGAAACATCGGATATCTACGAAGATTGTGTAATTTTGCGAATAGCGAAATCATTCCTGTTGGTTTACCTGTGAGGAGGGTATATCCTCGAAATTTATTCAGCGAAGATATATTATAGTTTCTTTTCCTGAAGATCCCGCGCATAATTTACCTATGTCTTGATGTCTGCGATCTGACTCATTTTGTAGAAAAGCCATGCTCCCAGCGCCACCCAAGGCACTAGGTATTTAGGTAGTTTATCCAGCTCGCTAACTTGATCGAGAGTCGGCGGGAGTATCTGGTCACAGCTGACTCCTGGGGCTTGACCGTAGCACTCCCGATGCCAAAAGCCGCCCTGAGTTAGTTAAAGAGTCATATTACAGAATGATGATGAGTCAATTTTATTTCGGTCGTTAGAAGGGGGCTTGCAACAAAACGGGTCTGAATTATGCACAAGCAGCTGCTGAGGCCCTTTCTTCTGGCTGCGAAAATGACTCACCCTCCGCGATTGGCGAGGGGAATTCCGAGGGCGCGCTAACCAGTGGGGCAACAAAATAAAAAGCACGTAGCAAGAAGGCTGATGTAGCTATGCTCTTAATGGTTAGAAGTTCAAGCTCTCATCGAGACACATAATATAGTACAGGCATACAGAAGGGGAAAAAAAGACACATTTTGCTGGATAGTGGGAATATCTAGGCAAACGAGACAGGAGCAAACAAACAACAAACCCTCCCATATAGAACTTATTTGAAAAAGCAAATATAAAAGCGTAACGATGTCAATTCAGCCAAGTAGAAAATCTTCTTTCGTTTTGTAAATGGAAGGGTGCGAAAGAGAGAAAAGAAGCAAATCAAATCTAGGACTGTCTATCGCCGCTAAGCCTCCACGCACGCAGCGGCAGCTGCTGCACCTTGAGTACAGCTGGTTTGATATAGAGAAAAAAGGTAATTGCGCCAATGATCACACATAAAATGTTGGTGGTATAATAACCATCACGATACACCTGGCAAACGCCCTTGCCGGCCTCGCAGCGGTGCTTGTCAGCCTCGAGCGCACAGGAGAATGGCGCAGTGATGGGGTCTTTTATGCCTTCGGGTGTTTCTGTGGGTGGGATGCAGGTCGCGCTCGTGAAGAGGTCGACGAGCTTGAGAACGAAGATTTTTGGGAAGGTTCCGCCAAGATTGGAGACGCTGTGATGTATCTGTTAGCTAGAACTTGAAATTCCCCAAGTCATTGGGACTGAGGAAATAGGAAGAAAGCATTGATACCCACGTTGCGAGAAGGGTCATGTAAGTGCCGCCGATAACAGGGTCGGCAATGCGTGCGTGGAAGGCTGAAACCGCTACAAACATGATAGTCATCATGTAAGTGGACAAGACATGTTCGCCAATAACCGCCAGGAGATACCAGGGCGGCATTGGTCCACCGCCACTTGGGAAAATCATGACAACGGCCTGCGCAAGAAGCGCAGCAAAGAGTCGGGCGACAAATGCCCAGCACCAAAGTCTCATTGGGGTATACTTGTTGGACCATTTACCAGCATAGTATCCCAAGCCGATCTCAAACGGGAAGTCGATTAGAACGACAAGAGCCATGTTTTCCTGACCGAAACCCTTTTCAATTAGTTTTAAGCTGGTTACAGCGTCGTTGGCTTGGAAACCAATTTTGGCAATCAGGTGGACGATGATGATGGTGTGAATGTTTTTCAGCTTAAGAACGCCCCACATGCTCTTGTATACGGCAAGAATGCCATCGCGATCGTTCGATTTCTCCTCCTTCTTCCGGAGAGCCAGGGCTATGGTTACAATGAGATAGAACCATCCCCAGAAGGTTAAATAGCCTCCCAGGGTTACGAGACCGACGCTCTGCTCCTGGCTGCGGAACCATCTATTGGCGAAATCTTTGGAGTTCAATGCCAAAAAGACAGTGTATGAAAGAAATTGCCCTGCGGTGAGCCCCACGGTTTGCGCGGAGGAAGCATAGGAGATATTCTGAGGTGACAAGAGGGAAATCGCCCATCCATCAACAGCAATATCTTGAGTCGCGCACAGGAATACTAAAAGGAACCACCAACCGGTAAAGCTCCAAACACCAGCACCTCCATTTGCACCAGCTGCGACCATCATCTTATTTATGTTTCTCCCTAGATATAACATGGAAAACCCAGATATCAGCTGGATAGGTGCGATCCAACTTTTCCTGCGTCCGAATCTTCGACTCCACACAGCGTCCACGATCGGACTCCATAACAACTTCAACGAATACGGGTATGACGCGAGGGAGAAAATGCCGATTTGGCCGTATGACAGGTAGGGTTTAAGGAGAAAAGGCACCGATCCGCCTGCTAGACCCATTGGAACCCCTTGCAAAAAGTAGAGTACACATAATAGCACAAAATTCCGTTTGTCGTGTATGGGCAGATCGCGAAAACTCGTAGTAGCCATAGCTGGTGTCCGCGGAGTGGGCAGTCCGTCGTCGAAGGTGAAGGTTGATCTAGTCATCGGCCGAGCCCTTTCGGTTGCAGAAGACGCCAAGTTGAGGTAATTGTCCTTCCCCGGCATGTCGACGTCGAAGTTCATATCGCCGTTGGATTGCACGTTTTCGCTGCCTCTGCCTGTTACGACTGACAGGCCGGGCCTGCTGGAGGAGCGACGTTTGAGGGGTGCGTTGTTCTTAGCGCGCTTCATCTGTATTTAAGTCAAATATCTAGGTCGACTAATTAACCACCCGCAGTGAAAGGGTGCCGTGTTCCTTGTCACTATCCTTCGTAAAGCGGGAATATTTGTTGGAATTCCACAGTCCCTCCGTCTTCTTCCGTCCTTCAATTTTCCAAGGAATTTTCCTTTAATTGTGCCAAGGACGAGTTTGTTTCTCCGGCACGTAGCAGCAGGAGGATTTACGGCTTCGTTAAGCTGCTCTTCGGCACAACTTAGGGGTTAGGGTTGGAAGTCCAGGTGCTGGTCGAGTTCAATGAATCGGCTGACAACTCGAAACTCGGAAAGGCGGAGGGATGTAAGCGGGAAAACGCAAGTTGAACGGGAGGAGAGGACGTGGGCAGAGTGACAGGATCATAAGAGAGAGGCAGCAACCAAGTGTTTGTTTGGGTGACGATGGGATCAAATTGTTAGAGGCAACCTGGCCTCTCGAAACTTGGTTATTTGGCTCCTCAACTCGTTGTTGGTAACATTTTATGCGGATCATGAAAAGTATCGATAGACTTACTAATTAGTTAAATTCTGTTTAAGTTTTGGGATATTTGGTTTATTTAAATGGTTGCCGGCCAACCAGCCAATGAGTCCTGGAAGTTTGCACGCCCAATGAGCTGAACTAACTTGACAACCCAATGGCGCTTCATCACACATTTGAGTATAGTTCAAAACACCGGCTAGTTATACAGTGTGGGTTGATGTCGACCACGCCCTGTTAACCACATGCACTATAAAGTGTGTATAGTACAGAGTAACTAACTACATAGTTGCATCGAACCGCTGAAGAGCGATGGCGTTGAACGCGCCCTGCTAATTAGTTACATCAGATCGGAGTTAGCTTGAGCCTTGCAGCAGGTTCAGATGTTGGGATAACCCAGCTCCCTGGCTATAACTATAGTTAAGTCTTCCTCTCTATATTTACCCAGACTGTACGCCCAAAGACGATAACAGAACCCTTCCGGTTTCTGTAAGAGGGGCGCATGTCTCTCCATTTTTTGTATAACGAAAACTACCATCCAACATTCATTATTCCATTCTCTCAACCAGCGGAAAGATATTCAGACATACACATCAATGGACCTACTACCTAATCAACCTGTCTATGCGATGTTGCCATCCCCCGTTTCTTCAATCAATAGCAGTCGTCTGCTTCTTCGACCCATCGTCAACTTCAATGCTGCAGAGCTATTTGCCATTCGTTCACGACCTAGAAGTGGCAGCAAATAAGTAGGGTCCCCTATCTTTACTCTTCAGGAGCTGGTTTAACCGGCATCTAAGAAGCCTTTACAAAGTCAAAAGCCAAAAAAAAAAAGGAAAAAAAAAAAGAAAAAAGAAAAAAGAAAAAAGAAGAGAGAGAGAGAATATTGCAGAAATATGCATTGAGGAAACCCGAGAATGGATGACATCTAAGTTATTGAAAGAAGGCCCGCCGGATGTAATTGGACATTCTTTCAACTTTGCCATCTTGGACAAGTCAATTCCCGAAGCCCAGGAACGACTTATTGGCTAAGTGAGCATCAACAGGCTTCTTCCCAGTCTTGAAATTGGGTATTCGATTCTCCCCCAATTTTGGAGGAAGGGATATGCGATGGAAACATTGCAGATGATGATGCAGACGTGGTGGGATCTTCCAAGGCGGAGTGTTGTAGCGGGTTGTCGTGAGGGACAGGATGGCGCAGGCACGGGGAATGGGGATGAAGGTTTACGTCGTTTGTAAGACAGCGAATCATGCAAGTTGTAAAGTGCTGAGAAAGAGCGGGTTTGAAGTCGTTAAGGAGGTGTACATCGAGGGTGATGAGCTTTTTGTGTGGGCTATGAGAAAGCCGAAGGTATAGAGTGCGCTCGACAAAGGGCTTACGGAAGGACATGGTTTATTCTTTATATTGAATATAATAATTTCTTTTAGCAGTAGCTGAGAGTATATTGAAAAACATCAAAACAAGACATATATATATATCGGATTATCACAGGCCAATTAGGTATATGTAACGTGCATGGTATTACAAATGATTAGAACTTCTGAAGATCAAAAGAAACAACATGTCTATTTCCTGGTGGCTCCGTCTGCGTGGGTAAGTCCTCTGGAACACCAGAAAAGACCTCTTGTGCTGCTTCTGACAGCCCTCCCCAGTGAACGTCCACAAGCTGCCGCTGCCCTTCGTCAAAAAAATTATTTGTTATTGATGCTTTGGCGCCCTGGATATCGGTGAGGGAGTGCTCCACTGTTTGGTTTTATCGAGACCAACAAAGGGGAAATGCAGCTTCTTGACGCCGTCTTTTGGTTGTCATTTGTACGCCCGGACTTGCAGTAGGACCTATCTAAAACCAAACATTAAATTTAAACTCAACTACTTCTGTCAAGAGGAACAGTGTGCACTTAGCTCTCGTTGTGTGCTTGATAGCTGTAACCGACATGTCCAATGCCATCTCCTGGGTTTAGCTCGTAAATGTGTTTCAAATCAAATACTAGGAGTCCCCATTTGGTAGATACAACAGAGAGAAAGTTTCCGTACCAGGCTCTTCCACACTTGCATGGAGCCGCTGAAGGCCTCAAAATCCGGCTTCCTCCCGCTGTCAGTTTGTTCGACGTGCAGAATATTACAGAAGCCCTTTGTAACCCCTTTGTTCCTATTGATGAAGGAGATTCGCGCTCCACGTGTATCGCCATCAGAACGGTCCAAATCCCCGGAGACTAAAGTGGCGACATCCCCTTCATAGCGATATCGCCCCTGTTGTCTGTTGTGTCCGCAAAAGTGGTAATGCACTGGGGATGCCATTTCTCTGTATTGACATCGTTGTAGCCGTCGATGTCCTCCCAAGTAAAGGCACTGAGGGTGTTTTAACCGTGGGAGAAGATTTGGATTCCTGTGGTTGAATTTTGCGAGGACTTGTATGACCGATATGACAGTGAGGACCTTGCCCAGGTTTGCAATAATGCTAGAGTAGCTGGTTGCTTTGAGTTGGTAGTTATTGGCAGTCATGTTTTGAAATTCTACGAGAGCAGTTGGCAACAGGCAGAGGGCTGCTACCGTTGTCAAGAGGAGATATTTGCGGACTACCATAGCTATTGGCAAGGCGGAAACTGGAAATAAGGCATTTTCAGTTCATTTTCACGGTGGGGACGGCAGTGCTGAGGTTATATACCAAATATTCCTGGTTAATGATCACCACCAGAGATTGGCATTTGTGTTCGTGAATTACTTCTTGGGAATCCATGGTGCTTCGTACCACGCTTGAAACAACCACGCAACCCAAAAGTTGATCCTGAACTGGTAAGTGATGGTGGGTCATCATCAGCCTCCTTTATGGTCAACCAAGGCCTGCGCCTCGTGTAGTCAGTCGCAGAGTTCTGAATAATAGCAACTGGATGGTGACATTTTTCTCCGTATTGGCGGAAGATCAGTGAGATTATCGCCATGATTTTATAAGGGGCAGAAAGTTATGGTAAATTTCAATACATAACAAGCAAAAATATCCTTACGAATCAAAAATACGCAGCCTTTCGGTAATATGGGGGTTGTATTTTAGTTACATTACTCAACTGCTTTGCGTAATTGTGGAATAAAACGTCTTGGCACATCAAACACAAAAACAAACTACCACCACGAAATAAAACAGATCATACGGCATCATCCTTGGCGAAGGGGCTACACACATCATCTCTAGGACAATCCCAGTCCTGCATCTTTGTAATATATGCTGTGGCCATGTCTGTAGATGCTCAGGCTACTGCTTCACGGCTTGTAGATGAAGACGTATCTAATGGCCTTGACGACGAGATCGCTGCAATTCGTGCTGAGAGTTGGTTTCCCTAACTGTCATGACATGCATGGTTGCTGACAGCATTGATAGTCCACAATCTCACCAATCGAAGGCAGTTCCTTTCATCGAGTCTCCTGTCTACAGATGTCGTTCAGGATGCGCTTCGCCAAAATGTCCCGTCCGGACTGGAAAAGGATATCGAACCCATCATCCTAAACAATGAAAAGCACAACCAAATCAATCAACATCGCATTGCATTCTCCGCAACATCTTTTCCTTTCACGGACCCTTCGCCCCACTCAAAGTCGCCAAATTTACTAGGCATTCGAATTGACATTTGCACGCGTCATGGAACATTTGTTAAGCCGTACTATTTGCTCTTGAGACGCGTTGGTGGGCAAGAAAAGAAATTTCTCCAGGTATATCGCCATACTATACCTATATTCATCCCCTTGGATCAACTGGAGCAACGATACCTTGCTGTGCCTCGTGGAGATAGTGAAGTGGGGAAAACACCAAAACAACGCCTGCCTAGGCTGGTGCGGGAATTAAGGAGGGAGCTGGTCGCGTGGCATTTGCGTTGTGATGCGCTCGGATGGCTGCAGGAGGAGCTTGGAATTTCCAACGAGAACGAGAAGCATGGGGTTCGGTCATCTCCACATCATCCTTCTGATGATCGACCGCCTAAAAATGGGCTGGGAATCGTGTCCGTTGCTGCAACTGCCCTCGACACGAGATACATTCGGTTAGAATGGCAGGATGGTCGTGTCGGTCGGATAAAGCTCTCCAATGAAGGCTTTGTTGAAAGAGCTATTGTTATTGGCGATGAAGGAAGAGATAAGACAATAGAAAACTTGTTCACAGGAGGGAATGGGAGGATAGAGAGTGTCATTACAAGGTTACGCGGCTTCTCAGAGCCTGGCTGACTTGCCCACACATTGCCGACGATTCAAAATAGCTGAAAACTTATCTTTATTATGCTGTCATATCTGTCTGATCCTAGTCACGGTATACCTCTTGAGATTAGTTCGCCTAGACTGGATCCTGATTGGCACCGTGGCTTTTGCCTGCGTTTCACTCCGATATTCCATGTGCTGTTTGTTTAGGCTGGGATCTAGTCTCTTTCCCTTCATTTGTAATTGGGTTTCTCCGTAAAACACACACACGACAGTGATTATGACTCCATAATAATATTGGTTTTCGTGTGGATTCGGGAGTAGTCGTAGCATTTCATATATATGATATCTCTTTTCGCCGTTATGTAACAGTTGATTCAGTCCATCTAGAGCCATTGCAACCCGTGATTAGGATGGAATTGACGAGATATTGGAGGAGTAGTGAGAATCATTTTTAAAAGAGAGAAATTGCGCTGCAATTTGTCCTCTTCATTGTGCCATTTCATGGACTGTCTTTACGCCTGCCGAATTATTATTCCATCATCTCTCGTGAAGTATTTTGCGAATGGTACCGCATTCTTTTACCGCATCACGCATTATATAATTGAGCCCACTATATGTCTTATGCATAAGTGCAATTAATGATGACCTGACGCATTTTTTATCTTCTCTGATATACTACCATTCTCTGCCGGAATTTGCGCCCAGGAATTGCACCAAGCTTTATTATCCTGATCCTGGCAAAGCACATTATGGCAATAACCTCCGCAATATCTCATACACCGCTAAAAACCAATTCTTCACACTCCACAAACCTGTTAAACCTGTTATTGCCGACGGAATTATCCCAGTTTGGATATGTCTAGGGAGTTCAAAGATTATTGTCTCTGTATCATTGTAGCCTTGATTTCGAAATTATTGTACTACTGCTTGAAGGCTATCATTGAGTCTCTGAGTCTGGAATATGTACTCAAGATATTGGCATATAGTACTCAGGTTTGAACCGAGATGCCTCTTTCACACTAGGTGATTTGTCGTCGAAGGTATTAGTTTGATACATGCTTACATATACAACAAATAAGTGCCATTATTCTCATAATTCCAGGCTTTTCCATGGCGGCAGCAAAGCGGAAAATCAACCTCAACAATCTTGAAAGCTGGTTACACAGATTTTGCATTGGTCCCTTACTCCCCGTTCTGGGGAGTTGAATGAGTTATCCTGGATGAACCGCTGAAGACCCTTGCATGAGTGGGCAGTGAATTTAAGCTTAAATCATTAGCGCCAGCCACGGCAGAGATCCGAAACTTTAATTTTTCTACCCCGGCCTGACTACGTCGGCTTAGGTGTGTTGGAGGATTATTTCCGAGTCAAATATTCTGATAAACTATTCATGCAAACAACAACGCTGCTATTGTTATTTCCCTTTGACAATTAGTAATGTGTTTGATCATGAAGGTGTTTACAGGGCAGTGAAACCCGAATAATGATTTTGTTTCATGTATCGTTGACTTGATGCCGTCATATTGAATTGAATAAAAACAAAGAGTAAACTGAGAAATTAGTGAATTAATTGTAAACATGTCAAGCTGGAATGGAAGGGCTGGAAAAACTGAAGTATTCACATACATCATTCATTCATTCATTTACTAAGTAAATAGCATCCACTTCAAGTCCTTCACCACACATGAACGAAGGAAAGCAGGAGCCGATACATTTATCTTATATCTCTCTTCCTTCATTTCCCATTTCCTTCCCCTTTCATCCATATTACTACCATCTTCTCAAATCCTCATCCGACAAAAAAACCATCTAATAACTACGTCAATTAAAACCACCACTTCAACCCTCCTGCACTCCATGGTGGAGCCATTGCCCAGAGTACCGATTCTTCCTCTCCTTTGTTCTTTGTCTTCTTTACCTACCTCGAATCTAGAAGCTCCAATTACAATGGTGCGTATTTTCGAGGTGACAACATCAGCCACTCCGGTTAATCACAATCTCCCCCCTCGAGAGCTAAAGCTGCTGGCAGTCACCCCTCGATGGTAAAGGCCAAACAGTGCGTGAATGTCCGTTTGTTTAAACGGAGCCACTGCCCACGAGGACTCTCAGCACCTAGCATACATGGTATAAATCCTGGCCAACAAGTGAGACGGTGCAATGGACGTCTGGGAATTTGAGGGTTAATCATTTCTTTATTGTGGTCCATCCCAAATTTACGAATCTATAAAAGAAAGGAAAGAAAAAGAAAAGAGCACTGCCTAATGGAAATCTCTGGCAGAGAATGAGGCTTTGAGCGAGCAAATTCAATGTAGTTAATTTGATTTGATTTGATGGGACCCATTGTCTCTTCTTCTTCTTGTTCTCTTTGTTTGAACAATGTTTTACAATGCTGGCGTATTTCCCAAATATCACTGAGATGCCAAATTAAACTTCACAGTGCTCAAGGAGAGAGGCGTTGCGTGCGACGCAGAGTAGTGCCTTAAGCTTCTGCTGCGCCGCGGGCCTGCACGGTAGGTAGGACCTAGCGTGTATAGGGTGGTTGGGGAAAGGAAGGGAGAGAGAGACTGGAAGGAAGTGGGAGATAGATGCCACTGCCCAACGCTAATTCCAAATAAAGCTTCCTTAACGTATCCAAGAGCAGATGGGTAAAGAGAGAGAAAACCTAAATAGTCTTGGATTATAAGGATTAGGACTGGATCAGGGTGAGTTTTAAGTCCTAACACTGAACCACCCCCAAGAGATAAAACAACGAAGATATTTCAATTCAGGGCACTCTACCGCCATGTGATAGCGAGGAAAAGGGGTATTTCTGATGATTTGGGCCGGTGTGTGGGCACGAGCCAACGCAAAGTCCTGTTTGCGAAACTGGGAGCAAAAGAAACTCTAGCCTATTGCAGTTAACTTACCTTGCATCCCAAAAGCCGCACCTTAAAACGATTTCCTTGGCATCCAACCATGGAAACTGTTTGTTCGGGCCGCGGAGCCGTATTCAAATTGACAACCTTAAATCAACCAGATGCAACTGGACGGGAGCGCTTGTAGTATCCAAGAGGGGCCTGACATATGGCATGGGATGGTGTCTGGGGCCTTATCCTACAAGAGATAGCAGATGTTAGAATTTGGCTCCATTTAATGCATCTTTGCAGAGCTGAGAACTTAGTCTTTATCATGTTCCACGGCTTTGTCAAGACTATCCCCTGCTACCTGCACGAGAGCAAGCCTCTGTGAATTATGTACGGCACAATGGTTCACTCGGGATCGAAATTCTGACAGCAGGTTATGCACCGCGGATTGGACGGATTAATCATCATATTTGAGATCGCATCTGAAATTGATCTGGTTCTCTTGGCATTCATACTGTTGTATTCGGAAGACAATATTGTTATCCAACAGGAGGAAATCTTTGAACATGACCTTATATGGTAATTTCCTTTGCACCAAATATTACAAGTGGAAACTCACTTATCAATCTTTGTCAGACGTGGATCAACCTTCATGTGAGAATTGGACCTAGGCCCGTTAAACGGATATCCACCAAAAACCACGTCAAAACTCCCACTTCCCTTTTTCTTTCTTATTTTTGCGAAATTCGGAACTTGTTGCTCTAAATCACACCACCAAATTGAGTTTTGTATGTAAATTAGCAGTAGAAAGACATACAAGAGCGTGAGAGTGAGAAAAGGGGCAGCTCGTAATTATAAGTAAGCTGCAAAAATCTGCAGAGAACTGCAGGACAACAACAATGATGAGTGATTTCTAAGCCAATGAGATCCTACACTCTGCACGTTTGATAATCTTACTATGATACTTCTCTACACATAAGTTATAGTGATATTTGTGCCAGGATACAGATTACTGCATTGAATCACACCATCTATCCAGATGAAACTGTATCCCTCAACCTTTTTGATGCTAACATTTTCTACTTCTAGCTTTTACCAACTAAGCTCTATAGATGTGGGCAATTCACTATGCACATTAGATAACAAAGCCATACCGATCATGGCATCATCTGCGCTCAGACCCAAGCCATGCCCTCGCTTGCAATCACTGGAAAGGAAATGAAGATGATGTCCCACAACAAGAACCCCTGCCAAGCACCTGGGGACTGGAATCCCAACAATAGAACTTTCGATAACTTCATAATAACTGGCGCGCTGATTACTATCAAGGCCCGACAGAGGTTTCCCGTTATGCTGCTGCCCTCGAATCATCCTAACTGCCATCGATGGGAATTTTGCTCTGCTACGATATGATACGAAGAGAATGTCAACTTGCGGCATATTGATGTAAGGATTTCATCAATTGACTTCTTGTCCTGCAGACTCTGGTGGAGTCGGGTGTGCGTGGGGGAGAAATGGGTTGCCACAGCGTCTGGAATTTGATCGTCTATGAATGCGTCTCACATGACCCTCTCTGCCTGTAACTGATGTATCTCCCCATCGGGAAGGACCAGCTCTCCATCTATCTGAGCAAACGCTTCAATACTCTGGTTCCTTCGACTATAAGCTTGGACGCTGTGATATCTGCTTCGCACATATATATATATATATATACTTCCATTGAGGCGTTAAAGGGAAGTATTGGTATACATGATTGATTTTGTCAATCGCTCTCGGTAATAGATAATCGTCTCTGTTAAATATTTTTGAATCCCGGATACTGTGCTTAATATGTTCGACGGAGGCGCCGGTATAGCGGCGCTATCCCCTCAACATGGAAATCGCTCTCGGAGTAAAGTACTGCCTGGACAATTTTGATTGCTTTCATCCCAATGCTCTATCTGGTATTAACCTCTTCAGGGAAGCGCTTAGCGGCTACCTCCAGACCTAAGGCTATATCTATTTAGTTGGTGTGGATGAATAAAGCGTCAATTTTCATCACGTCATGGGTTAAATATCTTGAAAAGGGAGAATTTACAACGTTGGAACCAAGTTCTGCTTCATCCCTGTGGCATTCAGGGATAGCTTAGTAATATTTTACTCATGGTCTACAGGGGCAGTTGCAGAAAGTTTAACCTTAATTCAACCCCAGCTCAAATGACCAAGATTCCTCACACCAAACATTCGACCTTGCACCGTCATCCCTTTGCGAAAAAGTTCAGCGCCGAGGGTGGCTGCTTTACAACGATATTCAAATTCCAATAACAGTTCTTGACCTCTTTGTATATACGCATAGCTGAGAGAAATTGCCATCGTATCTTTTGTTTTATTTTCCCCGAACCGCTCTATCACGAAATCGCCACCGAGCTACGGCGCTTACCAGCTTTCTATCATGGGCCCTCCGCCTGCAGAAATGGATCCACATTTCACTGTGTTTATAAGACTACCATTTCCAAGAGGAGACTTTGTTGATCCTCCCCCAGTATGTTTATTTGAGAATGCACTGGCTGGGACATTTCTTTTTGACACTTCGATAGGTGGAATGGAGTGTCGCTAAGGATCATGCGTTGTGGGATATTCTGTCACGACCCTCAAAGGGCAATGACATTGACTGTTAGTGAAATTCCTGGGCGTTTATTTACCCCTTGGCTCATTTCCGCTAACTGTATAACTGTATCTTTAGGGAAAGCATTGTATGTATATTCACAGTGTCTATCTGATTGCGGAGTTTTAATGGCTATATAGGGCGGAACATTTTGACGTGACACTACCATTCCTTCTTCAGCAAGCGGCATGGCTCTATGACCGCCAGCTCTCTCAGGTTCGAGCTCAAATACAAAAAGTTGGAAATCCTCATTCGGCTTCAAACTCACCTGCTCCCGCATCCATATCTGGGAGCGGTGGGATTGGCGGCCAACCGATGAAGAGAGGAGGAAGCAGTAGTATGTTATTCAACCATAAGGAGTCTATTTCGAATGTGTACTAAGCGATGTGCAGATTCAAGAGTACCATCAAGATTATCGATACGCCCAAAGGAAGGTCATGTAATGAAACCGGATCCAAGTGCGCCGCCTCCTACTCCAAACAAATCTAAAGGTTGTCCATTCCTAAAATGTGTTGGTGCCTGGCTAACGTTGCCCAGTTCTGCCATACCCAAATTTACCCACAGCAGGTACAAGAGCTCAATCACCCCGACCACCCGGTACTGATTCTATCATTCGTATTCAACCAAATTTCAAAAAGGAGACCAACGCCGTTTCCTCACCACTAACATCACCACCCTTAGGCCAGGAGATCTCGGAGACAGCCAGCCTGTCTTCGTCATCATCATCCTCTGTCTCTGGAGAGGAAGAAGCAACAAGACGAGGACCTCCATTCAAGAGATTTGGTAGATTCTCCATTCAAAAGGGAAGCAATAGCGTTGACGAGGATGATGACGACTCGCCGGCATTTTTGCCTTTAAGTACGCGTAATATGCCCTCTACAGAAGACGCTGGGCACGACCCTAGTGCAACTCTTCGTCTGCAGCTGGAAAGGCCCCGGCTTCCACACACGCATTCAGAAGCAACAACACTACCATTAGTGAAGGCCTCTACAACCGATTCTTCAACCAGTTTGGGAAGCTCAGGACTTGCCAGCGGTACTGCAGCGAATGAAAGACCTCAACCACTCCGCCATCCTCCATCTCTCAGCCCGAGAAGGGCAGCAGAACTATCCAGACTTAGTCCTCGTCGACGCACAGGTGGTCAGGAGGGAAGTGATGAAACCCCAAGCATGGGTAGCAGCTTCAGTGACTTGGACGGTATGTGGTTTCTAGTCGGTTAACGTTTATCCAATTTCCTCAATACTCTACTAATTTCGCTACAATGTCTAGATGCCAGCTTAACTCAGTCTGCGCTTGAAGAAGCACTCCTAAGCACGATGCAGCGGGGCGGGGTTGCAAGCCGGATGAGCACAATCAGCCAGGCACTCAAGAGTAGATATTTGTGATAAACCTAGGTAAACCAATCAAAGAGCCGAATACAAAGAATACACTGCTGTTAGAGAGATTTGAAGTCGTTTTGAACAATTAAAAGGCATCATATCAAATATCAATGCTGAAGGGTATATAGTTAACTGCAAGCAGCATCTCGACCCTTGGGACTACCTCTCAATAGATGACATGTATCACGTGATGCAGCTAATTTGCTGAAAACTCCATGACGTCACTGTGTCATGGTTCTCTCGGTCAGTGACTTCCGAGGCAAAACTTTGTTTCTTCCGCAACCGGAGAACTTCAGAAGTTAAAACGGACCGCCGCAATCTGAGGGGTATCAGTCAAGACCCATCTTATGTATTGCAGCAGAAGACGAGACTGGAAAACAATTCAGGACGTGTTTGGTTGACATGGGCAGGATAAATTGAACTTGTTGTGTGCTGTATACCTCTCACCTGAACCCGATGGTGCCCCACCTCGATCGAAAGCCCTCGCAGATTTGATTTATCAGAGGACTTCAAGGTGTGGTAGCATCCGAAAGAAAGATAGAATCCCATTCCCCTTAGAGGGAGAGAAAATACTATAGAACTGTCTTCATTTGGACTGTCACAGTACTTCTGTGTCCCTGCTCAGCACCAGCTTCCCAGAGACAGTGGGTGGCGGGACTTCTTGGCGAGCGGCGCATCTCTGTCCCTGACGACAACATTCAAAATGCCACTACCCAGCACCAAGGTGGAAGACGTCCCGCCAACTGCGGTAGAGTCTGATTACTTTAAAACCAATCCACCACCACGAGATCTCCAAGCTCACCGCGCCCAAGCCGAAGAATTCGTAAAGCTTCATTTAGCAGCAAACAGACGTGTGGTCCTGGTCACATCCGGTGGAACCACCGTACCCCTGGAGACACAAACGGTGCGCTTCATCGATAATTTTTCTGCAGGGACACGAGGAGCCACTTCCGCCGAATATTTCCTCCAAGAGGATTACGCAGTGATATTCCTGCACCGCCAATTTAGCCTTCTCCCATACTCGCGACATTACAGCCACTCAACAAACTGTTTCTTAGATTTTATGGACGAGGCGGAGGCCCCGCCGTCGTCATCTCCAGAACATGATGTAAGCAATCCAGATCATGGTGCCATCGTCGTCCGCCCGGAATACCAGGATGAAATGCGTAAAGTGCTCCGCCAGTACCGCTACGCGAAGCAGAATCACCTCCTCCTGCTCATCCCCTACGTAACGGTGACGGAATATCTGTACGAACTCCGCTCGATAGCCATCGCCATGCGTCCTCTGGGCTCTAATGCTCTTTTCTACCTCGCCGCGGCAGTCTCTGACTTCTTCATCCCGCGCGATCGCATGGTTGAGCACAAGATCCAATCGTCGAATGAGACGACACCGCCGCCACACGTGACGCACAGGCACGACATCATCCCGGCCGACGACATATACACAGGCTTCAACGACCCACAGCCCCCGACACACGGGAAGAAACTGATAGTCGACCTGGATCCTGTTCCGAAATTCCTCCTCAGCCTCGTGGACGGCTGGGCGCCGCAGGGAAGCATGATTGTCAGCTTTAAGCTGGAAACGGATCCATCGCTGCTGATTTCCAAGGCGGAGACAGCGCTGCAACGCTACTCGCACGACCTTGTCATTGGCAATCTGCTTTCGACGCGCAAGTGGGAGGTTGTGTTTGTCAGTCGGAAGCCGAATGGGCAGATCTCTGAGCACTGGATACGGATTCCGAAGGCGGCGACATCACATGCACCCACGGCGAAGCTGCTGAGCTCAAATACGCGGCCCGTTGCGGGTGCGCTTGGGGAGAAAAAGGAGGGTGGTGGGGCGGTGGCAGCGCAGGCTCATCCGGATCAGATGGTGGAGATTGAAAGTTTGATCATTCCGGAGCTGAAGAAGAAGCATTCAGATATGATCGAGGCGGCACGTGCGGGGAAGAAGCGGATGGATGTGGTCTAGTTGGCTGTTAAGAGTTGTATGTGTGGTTCTTAATCTTGAACTTTTTGAAATTTTGAGACACATTTATTATGATAGATACAGCCCGTTAATGTTTTATTTTCTCTGATTATAGTATTAGATAAATTCATGTACAATTGCCATTTGAGTATCCATGCTACTAAACCAAATTTGAGAGATTGATAAATCAGGCTGATTGATATTTCTTGTGGTGTGGAATTTGCTTGCGGAAAACAAGAACTAGTGGTGTTGATGAGATACAACCTGGTTTTGTCAGAGATCAACTACTATTCTCTTCAAATAGGTCCCTCAACGACTGTCCCATTCCCAGCTTCAACCTTGTTATTTCTCCATTTTCTAATATCATAGGCTAAACCTTCAACTCCGGATACATAAACGCGTGAATCAAATAGTGTTTGTTCATTCAACAGGTGCTTCCTGCAATAAGGATATCAACACTGACACCCTCTGGTCCCACACAGAATTTAAGCAAAATCAATTTCAAAACATCCAGAACACCTCCATCCCATCAATTTCCAGCGCAGGGAAATATGTGACTTGAAGCAATGATATTAACGATGGAAGAGAAAGAAAGAAAGAAAAAGAAAAAAAGGAAAAAAAAAAAGGAAAAAAAAGGAAAAAATATTAAAGCTCACCTCCGCCGACTTTTCACACTCACGAACTTTACAAGAGCTGTAGCAGTATATTCTTCTAATCGAGCGGGGGAGCTTCCGGGTCCTCCATACACTGGTCGACCCTCATAATCCGTTTACCTGTATTCTTCGCAATTTGTATCACGTCTCTCGTGTACATTACTGTATCCTGACTGAGGAAATGCATGACCACCAGGTCACCACCTCTATCTACGTCATTCTGGAAAGCTTCAACCTGTTTTTCGGGGGTGGGAGTTCCAGCCCACAACCAGTCTTGGATATCAACACTCCAGTGAATGATATAAGGATCCTTGATGAGTGCAGCAAGTCGTTGGCGGGTACGCGCTCCAATGATCCCATATGGCGAGCGGAAGTATCGAGCTAAGAAATGATATGATGAGATTGATTTCGTAATAGAGATAATTTCGGAGAAGGGAATGTCATGACGAGGAGGAAATTAAATTAGGCTTACTTGTAAATCCCAACTGCTCCTTGATTATCTGGAGACCTTTAGAAATTTCCTCATCAATCTCCTCGATCGTTTTGAGTTCTTCCATTCTGTTTATTCGTTAGCAGGTGGCAAACAGACTATTTAATTTATCCCTAGACTGAACACGACATACGGAGGATGTGACCATGTATGCAGCGCAATCTGGTGTCCCCTCGCAGCCATATCTCTATAAATATCACTCCACCCGGAGCTAGGAACCGCTAAACCATTTCCGACTGAGAAGAATGTCGCATTGATCCCTTCTGAGGTCAAAATTTCCATGATCTGCCGCCCCAATTCGGGGGAGCCATCGTCAATGCCAAAAGCGAAGGAATTCGGGCGCTTGCATCGCTGCCACAGAGTTCCGGTAGGTAACTTCTCAGGAATTGGGAACCCATCCGGCTTCGTCGCAGTGATTTCCACTTTTGTCACTTTCAACTTCTCCAGCATGTAGAAACCTTTAAACGACACGGAAAGAGAACGTGTATAGTCGATATTGAAATGTGAGATGGGGATATAAATGTTATTGCCTTGCATGTACCTGCCCGCCTCCACGTCATCCCACGTTTCCGGATAGGGGTTCTTTAAGGCGTCACACTGGGCATTGTTTTGGCTCAGGGAAACGGTAAAATGACTTCCACCTTCACAGACGATGTGCAGAAACATATCCTTGTAAAGGGTAAGGTCGAAACATGATGATGAGAGCTGAGTGTGGAAGTTCTGCTCAGCATTTATGGGAAAAAGTTTCACATAACCGTTTCCCCATTTTATCGGCATGTCCTCACCAATACCATGCCAGACATCTAGGTCATTCCGGCCCCCATTTCTGAACGTGTCGATGACAAGGACGGGATCCTGTCCAGAAGGTGCGCGTGGATGTGGAACATGGGGGACGGTAGAGGCTGCTACGGCCGTCAGGAGAAGAGAGAGAACAGTGCATCTGCTGGAGAATAAAACAAAGACACTGGAGAAGCCCATTATCGACGAAGATATCACTTGTCGTTCATATAATATGGAGAACATTTGTAGTTCTGGCCAAATAACCGGGGGTACCAGTTTTTAAGTGAGTTCCCTCACCACCTGGGCAACCAAATCCCACAGTGAATTTTTCAGAAACAGGATGAACTCCAATAGGAGCACCTCAATAGTCGCTACACGAGTGCAAAACAGACGTGTATCGATAACGCAGGAGAGAGAGAAGTAGGCGAGAATATGAAGAAGTGAAAAAGTGTCCATGGGGTATCATATCATATCCATGGGTGTAAACAAAGGCAGGTTTACAACAAGGTAAAAAATGAGCACAAGCACCGAGCAACAGCATCCTCCTTCCTGCGCGGGACATCTGTCCTCGTCTCATAGCAGATGCAGAGCAACGGCTGGGAAGGTGCCCTTGGGGCGCCATTTGCTGATATTTCCGCAGTTGTTCCCCTGGGCCGTGGCCATTCCTAACGTATCAGAGGGGGGATCAGAGAGCATTTTGATACCTGAAAAAAAGGATGGGGTTATGGATAAGGTAACCTAATCGCTGCAATTCGAGAGGTCAAAGTAACCTTGGAAATGAGCAGCAACCTGAACCTTGTAGGAAGCCACACATAGTTTGGCTAATTGAGGGTGATGTGTTTGTGTTGTGTTCTCGCAGGAAACGGCGGTGAAATTCCCTAAATAACAGCCTGGGCCCAACACTGGTTACTTTGTAACAATCAAATTCCGCTGGATAACTCAACAGGTACCGAGGTTGTTAAAAATGTATTTCCCCTAACCTCAGCCTGCCTGCCGAGGTGGTAACCTCAAAATTACAAACAAAAATAAAACAAACCTCTCGGGAAATTCAACAAGCCAATTCCAACCACATCCATCAACATGTCTGAAGCCCATTCAATCGAACAGCAAGTTGTTGAAACCATACAAGCCGGAAACAGCAAAGTACAGAAATAAGGGAAACAAACATTGAAACAATGCCACACCCCTCACCCCTCACCCCACATCAGAAATTCAATACCCCTAAACAATGTTTCTTCTCCATTTCCAATCCACAGTGACAGTAGTCGTCGAAGTCCAACAAGGAAGAAAACAATAATCGAGATAGCAATTGTCGAGGGTTTGCCTCTTTATTGTATCCAATTTTTTTTTTCTTCCCCTCCCATCTTATCCTCCATTTTTCAGAGAGTTGAATTGCAAGAAACTTATCTGCTTTGATGGTGTTTGTGGAAGAGCGATGGTGAGTGTCAAGAAAGGTATGGATATGAGTAAAACGTTAGAGCTGGCTGTGTCGCGATAAGCCTTCGATAGAAACAAGAGTGTAGCGTTCATAAACACAACAAACGGCTGTCATCACCCCTGTCGAAAAATGCCGTTTGTTCAGGTCCAGACATCTGAGTGATATGTCCACCCCTTCGGTCACACCACCTACGAATAAATGTAGCCGTTCCCCTCCAACAGAGCTAGCATTTATCATGTAGCCCCACTGGTTTCCGGGTCCCCTTGCTTAGACGGTTTCTCCTCTGCAACATTAGCAGCTGCTGCAGCACCCCATCCATTATTTGCGGCAGCAGAGGCATCACCACTGTTGTTGTTTTGGCTATCATACTCATCGTCGGTATCGTCGTTGAAGGTGATTTCTCCCTCTGATTTCTCAGACTCCAGGAAGTCTGGAATAGTCTGCTTGCACTCCAACAAGATCTTGACCAGATCCGCAGCAATACCGCTGTTACGCTCGTGGCTGTAGAATGAAGTAGCCACTCCTTCGTTTCCAATACGAGCCATGCGTCCTAAAAGGGGAAGAGGGGAAATTATACCGTTAGCCAAAGATAATAATACCACTCTGATTTCAGAGCCATACCAAGACGATGAATATATTCCTCACTTCCTCCGTGGGTGGTGCTCGGCAAGTCAAAATTGATAACATGCATGGCGTTTCTAATATCAAAACCACGGGCAGAAACGCCAGTAGCAACCATGATGGGGCATTTCGCAGTTCTGAATGCACGCCTACATATGCTTGTCAGTATTCCTGTATTAGTCCAAAACCCCGGATATAACTCACAGAGCATCCTCGCGTTCGCTCTAGTAGGTCAGAATGGATAGAAGTGTTCGGTAGCCCCATATTGTATAGATAACCATCGATCAAATCGGCCTGTGCCTTCGAATTTACAAAAATAAGAGAGCGCGAGGGCGGCATGGGGAGAAGGAGATCGTAAAGGGCCTTCTTTTTCAGATGATCGTCCACATAAACGATCTTCTGGCTCACGTTCAAATGGGAACCCCCAGCACGCCCGATGCGAATGCGAACGTGGTCGGCTGCAAGAAATTTACGAGCAAGTTCGCGATATTGCTTGTTAAAAGTTGCGGAAAACATCATATAGCGATGATCAGCGTCTTCGTTGGTATCTATATGACGTGTTGTTAATTTATTCCTTCGGTTTCTCTTCATTAAAAGATCAAAGGGCATAAAACATACCACCACCAGACATCAACTTGGTCAACTCAGTTTCCCAGTCAGAGTGAAGCATCTCATCTGCTTCATCGATAATGGTGTACTTAACACAATGGAGGGAAAGAATAGGCGGCTTCTCCATGAGGTCAAGGAGACGACCAGGTGTCCCGATGAGCACGTCACAACCCTTCTGAAACTCAATACACTGTTTGCGGACGGGTGCACCACCATATAAAACACAGGGACGCAGCATAGAGCGGTAGCAAAGGCGGCAGGCCTCGTCGAAGATCTGCGTGGATAACTCACGAGTTGGAGCAACAATGAGAACCAGAGGCTCTGCACGAACAGAGTCCAAAGCCTCGTTGAACCCGTTGCCCAAATTGGGACTGGGAGCCGCAAGTTCCTTTGCTTTGCCCATTAGCTTGGACAAAATGGGAATCAAAAATGCAGCGGTTTTCCCGGACCCTTCTTTGTATCAACAAGATTTAATTCGTAGATTAATGAGGAATTTGATTTACCGGTCTGAGACACAGCGATGAGATCATTTCCAGTCAAAATGGCCGGGATGGAGTACGCTTGGATCGGGATAGGGAAATGATAGCCACATAGCTTGATGTTTTCACGCATGACGGGGTGCAGTCCAGCATCATCAAAATACATCGTCTTGTTAGAACGCAAATTGGTCGAACATGTTGGAGGGAACTTACACTCTTGACAGGATCAGGCTAATGGGTAGTTTCAGCTTCTCCCTTGATTTCGCGGAGTCTCGAAGCAATCAGCTTTGCACAATCAAATCCCAAACATTTTAATAGTATATACCGATCAATGTGATTTCCCACACGATTGATTAATTCATTCCGGAACAGCATTTTCTCCAATTCTTCGTTCCGAGGTCCAACATCACCATATACCTCCTTCCACTCATATTTGGCTGCGCTGGAAGCCCACACCGGGAGCTCAGTTGCATCACCGCCGTCAGCAGGTTTGGACTCACCAGTGTAAGCATCATAACGTCAAAGAGTAAAGAGAGAAGGGTGCGATACGAAAGCGTCTAAGAACCTGAAGCAAGAAGAAAAACTCTCAAGTTTCTAAGAAAAGCCGAAGGAAGACCATAGAATAAAGAGGAGAAGATTGTGATGAAAGAGAGAAGTGTTCTCATGTGTTGCGAGTTTTCTGGTCCTCCGTTGCTAGGGAGGCGATGTATGATTGTGCTTCACAGGCATAATGTCATCATGAATTTCATGATGGTGGTGACGATGATGATGATGATGATGATGATGATGATGATGTGTGTAAAGAGATACATAAATCACTTTCAGAAGAATAAAAATACTTTAAATCTGCTTCCGTGCACAGAAATCAAAAAGAAAACGATTATAAAAATGAGAATATATATCTATCTCATAATTTCAGTAGCAATGCGTGGAACATAATATTTCTCTATGTAAAGCGCATCGCAAAAAGACGGATTCTTCTGCCATAATGGATCTGAGAAGATATCGTCCTAGGCCCAGAAAAAAAGGAGATCCTTAAAGACTCTATAGAAGTCAGGACAGCGAAATTCAGCCAAGGATTCTGAGAAGCTTTTGTGAAATGGGGTACATTGGATGTACCCCGCCCGGCAAATCATTTCTTCAGTGACATACACCTGATAGTTATAATTCCGTGGTTCGATTCGTTCGTTCTAGGGTCGGATGATTGATTCTCCGGCCAACTAGCTATGTAGTTAACTTCGTCAACAAACTTAAGAGGGAACGGAGGCCCTTTTACAACCCGGAATCTCGAAGTTAAGATAGGAGGAGCCTGATCGCCTATAGTAATGGGTGAGAAGTCCGGACATGATAGCATTCCAGTTGTTCCATTCTCAATTCAGTAATCTCGAGTCTACCATAAACTAGGAGGTGTAGAGTCGTGCAGAGCTTCCGGAGAATGATGCCAACAAGATGCGGCCCGACATCTAACCAAATTTCTCCAGAAAGAATACAAAGTATGAAGGAGCGAGAATGAAAAGGAACAAAGGAGGATAGTGGATAAAAGAACGAAGGTAAAAGAAAAGAACCCCCAAGCACCAAATTCTTCACTTAATCAACTTCGACCATAAGAAACTGCCCAACGCTGGGGATCCCATCAACCACGATATACACCACGTACGGCCCAGGCGGCGCAATATTGCTATCCGGAGGCATCTTAGCCTGAATTCTCTGCTTCTTGCGACCAGGTCGAAATCCTTCGTGTTCCAGATATAACATCCGATGTCCCATATGCAAAGAGTGGGTTACGAACCCGCCATGATAGAGCACAACACGCACATCTTGAGCTTCCCCATGGGCCCTGAATTCTACCGTGAACTGTTTGCCATTTGCCGGTAGACGCTTATTAGACAAGACGACACCAGATGGCCGATTTTTACCATTTTCTTCCAGAAGATAGTGTGGCGTGTATATCTCTACTCGGAACTCGGTCACGTATGCTTGCTCCTCAATATCCGGGTTGGCTACCAGAATAGGTTGTTCCACGGGGTTTGATCCTGCAATCATAACTGAGCCATCCAGCAAAAGAAGTGCAACAGAGTGGTACATCCGTGGGATTTCAGACTTTCCCCCGATACCCCACCGATGGCCTGAAGGAGCTTCTGGGTCGTAGACCCAGGCATCAAAAGTTGGGTCTTTGGCGATGCCAAATCCTTGCGAACCACGGTTGCAACCATTAACCCAAAGTATCATGCCATCAGGAAGCATCATTCCTTCCACCATTACTCTACCTGCGGGCATCAGCTCCATCTCCCACTCTGGATCTGGCGAGAGGGGTTTAATACGTCCACAACTTGGATCGGTTGGGCTATCTATCTCGACAAATGCTCCCCCACCGCATATTACAACTTCAGGTTCCCATCCTTTTTTGGCGCTAAGAGGAAGAAGAACACTTCCTCCGGTGTTTGGATACGTACGGTAATCACCTGGCAAGTCAGGCAGTGTTTTAACTGTCTTTCGAGCAAATGCATCGAAAATCTCTGCCGACCGCGACACAAACACGAAAACAGTACCATCCTTTAAAAGATGGAGAAATGGGTACATGAAGTAAGGTTGGTTTCGCTCGAGGATAGGAAATATGACGCTTTTACCATCAGAAACCCCATTCTTATCGAGTGATTCGTACGTCGGGTTGTTATTTGCGATTACGGATGGGTTGAGTCCATTGAGACTACCGGAAGCAACGAAGAGCGAGCCGTCACGAAGAATCTGAGCACTTGCATACCATCTGTTCGTCGAAAGCTGGTTGCCAGGCTCCTCCCATGAGGCTCCATCCATCGTGTTACTGTCCAGCGGTCGTGTTAGGTATCGGATTGCTCGGAACCCGTCACCAACCGTAAGATCCATTGCCAACGGCGAGTTCCCACCAATGTTAACCAGCCGCCCGTCCATCAGAAATGCTCCACCAGAGCAAAAGGCGTTTGTCTGTTATCATGTTAGCGGTGGAAGAACTGGAATAGCAGATCCCTGTATTGTCCTAACCTTATAACTTAGAGGCACCACCTCGTTTGTTTCTGGGTCATATTCAGATGAATACGCATACTGGCCATTGGGTAGCACCAGCTGTGTATAATTTTCGACCTTGTCGACGAATACCACTCGCCCGTTACTCATAAGAGCTGCGGACATTGCAGGAACCCCAGACTGACCAACCAGTCGAAAGTTCCCGCGTACTGTGCCTGGCTGATATGTAATGGGACTAAGTGTTTCGAAAAGATTCTGTTGCTCACAGTCCCCTGACTGACAACCAGGACCACAATGGGACGAGGAGCTTCCACAGAACTTAAAGAGTGTCAGCCGAATTTCAGCCATCAAGATCTCTTCCATAGAAGAACTTACTCCATATGGGGAACAACAGCTTCCTCCAGGCCAGGCTCCGCAAATTGTATTACCATTTTTTGGCCCACAGAGACCATCAGCAGTTTGCTTGAGTTCCATGGGCTTTGCTCCTATTTCCTGTTGCCTCGGTTTATTCTCACGGGCCAAGCTGTTCTGCAGCTTTGGATGTGGATTCACACCTTTGAGAGACTCGATCAAAGCGTGGGTATTAGCTCCAGATATGGCCCTCTTGTGCATAGCTTCCATTTTAGAAGAACTTTATATCACTTGTTAGTTGGTTTGAACACGGTTACACAAGGAGATCCGATTTGCGATCGATATCCTGCATTTCATGGCTCTTCTTCAAATATCTCTTCCTCAATGCGGGAGAAAGCAAATGCAACATCCACACAGGTGTGGATCTCACGAAAGTTTCTGGCTCAAAAAATATAGGATCGAGAAAACATACCGAGATTGTTTAAGAACATTGACATGCCTTGTTAACCGGTTTCCTGTAGCATCAGCAGGGCCACCCTTGGAGTAGCAGACATCATCTTCGACCTCTCGTCGCATCGGCCCCACCGGGTCAGTTGTCAGGGGTGGGGTCGCTGTTACAGTCTCCTGTGTCGGCGAAGGAGATTTTTGAACTGTTGATATTGTTGATACTGGTGGTCCGTCTGGTCCATTTGTGGTGTGGCGGTGATCAACCTCGCATCTGGGAGAGCAATAATAAGCGACTACAGATGTAGCAATGAAGCCCAGGATCCAAAATGGGATACTCACATTCCGCGCGGCGAGCAATACTGTCCACGAAAGCATCCTTGAAACGCTGGCAAAATTGGATCACATTTAAGCGGGGGGTGGTCGAAAAGAATGTGTGCATTAACCCAGCAGGCTAGAAACAGAAGGCACAGAGATTTCATCTTCTAATGACGGAAGAGATAACCTTGAGAGTCCGAGAATGATACTTGGAGAGCAATAAACCAAAGACGGGAGATTTGATAAAGATAGGTGAGAGGGAAGCGGTCTAGAAATGCTCTCAGAAAGGTATATCGAGTTCTGCAGCTCCCTGCAAAGCATTTAAAAGGGGATATGCCAGAAGGTCCTTTGGATATAGCAGAGACAGCATGGATGAGCCCTGTTGTTGTTTGTTGTTATTGTTGATGCTGTTGATGTTGTTGTTGTTGTTGTTGTTGTTGTTGTTGTTGTTGTTGTTGTTGTTGTTGTTGTTGAGAATTATATGATTTATTCATATGCCATAGGATGCACCAAATTCCATCCATGGGTGATCCTCTGGCACACCTGCAACAGTTTCATTGTCAACGCCATCAAATCATCCGTTTGCAGGCGACGTTAACTGCAGTCGCGTGTTACTCAGTTGGCGTAGGGGAAAGCAGCCACGATGGAGGGGAGATATCAAACACAAAGCCAAGGGCGAGGGACACAACAAGCAGAACACAAGGGGAATATCAGCCGGGGTTTGTTCTGAGAAACGACAGAGGAGCAAATTGAGGCCAGCCACAGTAAGTAAGCAAATAATGGCACATTTATATCAGGCAATGTATGTGGATGCATACATCCGCGATATAGATACAGATATGGATACATCTCCAGCTATTCAACTTCAGGCCTGTAGAATTCTTCATGCTGGCATAGTTTTCGTAGCATTGAAAGTACCGAAGCACTGTACAATTTCAAAAACATTGTTATACCTACTGCTGTTGAATTAACCATAGACACCAATAAACATGATTTTTTTTTTAATCAGTTAATAACATTGCTCCAAGCGCTGGTGTAGCTAGTTAATCCATATAATTGAATAAACCAGCTCGTGGCTGACTTGATTTATCGCCCGTTGCCCAATGAGGAGCTCAGGATGAGAGGTGCCGCACGCAAGAGAACACCACATCCGTTCCAACGGGTTGTCAGCGACAGCCAAAATCTCAACATAATATCTCTCCGCAGAAACCTGCATTGCTCGATATGTGCAGCGTTGCAAGCACATAGGTCCCCTTCCGTCCCGAGTCCCAGACCTCGTTTCCTCGGCCTCCAATCCTCCTCCACTTCCGATTTCCTCGGCGCCATCCATGAACACCCGGCCAGAAGGAGATATACGCCGTAAGCGTGGGCACGGCGACCACACACGATCTTCAACCAACCAACCGACCAACCAAACAATCCGCACCAACCAGCCCCGACGAAAGATCTCTGGATAATGACCGCCAAATACTACCATCCATCGCTTTTCCTCCTGCTTTTGAGCCGCCATGTATCCCGACAGAAGATCCCACATTGAGCCGGCTCCCGCTCCGCAGCTCAGGCATCGCAAGTCGTACTCTGAGGATCGCGGTTTTGCAGGATGCATCGAGGAGGCGATCACGAACCCTGGCTCCGTGAAAATCAATGCTAAGGGCGCTTTCATTGTCAGCGAGGAGGAGGAATTGGGGTCTTCTCCGAATAATGGCGTGGCAAAGGATGGTGTCTACTATGAACGGAAGGACATCCGTCTGCCTCATCAGACTGGCGTCGTCAGCCATGTTGCGGTTGATGTATGTCATATTATTCTCCCCTCCCTCTCCCCGCTTTATAAGCCCGTCAACACCCAGAAAGAGGGGAGGGAAATCCAAAAGAAACTTGAAGAAAATCGACACCCCTTTTACGGAAATAATTTTCATCCTATACAAAGACTAACTCCGGACCTCTCTCGCAGATCGGAGGCTCGCTGGCAAAGCTGGTTTACTTCTCCAAGGAAATTGATTCACCAGACAACGGAGGACGCCTGAATTTCATTAATTTCGAAACTGATCGGATTGACCTCTGTATCGATTTTATAAAGAAACTGAAAGAATCTCACGAGAAGAATTATGCTACAGATCCAAGTGAGCTGTGTGTCATGGCCACGGGAGGTGGTGCGTTTAAATACTACGACCATATGAAAGAAGAACTTGGCATCAATGTGCTTCGAGAGGACGAGATGGAATGTCTAATAATTGGTAAGGAACCCCCCAACCTCTTTTTTTGCCCCCTCCATTAACAGCCTATGAATACATTGACCCTCTGGTACGGATTGATTCTAACAATGGCGCCTTCATTAGGTCTGGACTGGTTTATCACCGAAATCCCGAACGAAGTGTTCAGCTACAGCGAAACCCTTCCAACCGAGTTCTTGGAGCCTCGACCGGACGTCTACCCGTATCTACTTGTAAATATAGGCTCGGGGGTGTCGATGGTCAAGGTATCCGGACCAAGACAGTTCCAGCGTGTTGGAGGAACCTCTCTAGGAGGTGGCACCTTTTGGGGCATAATGTCTCTGTTGACTGGCGTGCGGACTTTCGATGAAATGCTAGCCATGGCGGATCGAGGCGACAACAGCGGTGTTGACATGCTCGTTGGAGATATCTACGGCACGGACTATGGCAAGATTGGATTGAAGGCTACGACTATTGCTAGCACTTTTGGAAAAGTGTTCAGGATGAAACGGCTCGCCGAGCGTCATGCTGAGGATGGAGGGGGGATGGCACACCACGACAGTGATTCGGATTCAGACCCTTCTCAGTTCAGTCATGAAGATATGAGTAGAAGCCTTTTATACGCAATCAGGTATGCATCCTTCCCACTTGCTGCTTCCTTCCGTCATTAGACTTGCAATCTGATTTGATATTCCACATAGCAACAACATTGGCCAAATCGCCTACCTACAATCCGAAAAACACAAAATAAAGCACATCTACTTTGGTGGATCCTTTATTCGTGGACACCGCCAGACGATGAACACTCTCTCCTACGCTATTAGATTCTGGTCTAACGGAGAAAAGCAGGCGTATTTCTTACGGCATGAAGGCTACTTGGGCGCTGTAGGTGCATTCCTCAAAAGACAACCTGAAACCTGGGGCCGAAGAAGGAGTATCGAGGAAGCCGCTGCTGCTCGATATTCCAAATACAGAGAGGATTTGAGACGCTTTGCTAGAAAAGAACGAGCAGGGACAGTGGTACCCTGAACCCAACCACGTTCCCAGAGAGTTTACTGTTTTGGTATTGCCTTGTCCTTTCTTGCTATATAAATACACACTCTGCAACACATAGCTTGCAGTTCTCCTTCCCCTGGACTTTTCCTACATCAACATCATCCAATTCTGGTGAATTCTTCTAACTCTCCTTGCTGCACAATTATTATGTTGATGAATCATGCATTATACCTTTACACTTTTGTTTTAATGTGTTTTGCATGTTCTATGGGCTTTGTTGTTCCTTTTGTTGTTTTGAGTGAATCCATACATATGTACCGTTTTTGACCATGAACTGCATTGATTTATTGGATAGAAGTTTTCTTAACTGTTCTTTCTGTTGAGCATTGCAACAAAATTTCACTGATGTGAAAATAAATAAGCATGTATCCATGAGGGTTACAGTTGAATATGATTTTAAAAAAGTCGAACATGTTTTAAAAGGCTGGGCTCACTTTTCTAAAACCATGATCAAATAGTCTTCACCCTCTGCACATACAACCACAAATACATCTCTATTCAACCTCTCCCTCAACACCAGGGTTAGGATTAGGGTTGGTTAAGGATAAGAGTCCAAGAAACATGATAAAATTACTATCTCAGGAACTTTATGGAAATGTGTGTGAGATATGTGGACGTATGACTGCTTTTTATGGCTTGAGATTTTTACACCAACGTTCATTGTGAATTTGCGTCTGGGGATTTCGGTTAGTCATTGCTGATTAATCCTCGCTGTTCAACTCCAAAGGAACAACTTTGAAAGAAAAAGAACAACTCTTCTTCTCTGGCCATTAAGAGCTTCAATTCCATTTCGCGTCAGATGTCTCAAGTGACTATGGCCCTACAATGATTACGGATGCCTCACATGGCTCCCGAAAGCCCCGCTAGCCCCTCTTATCCTTCGTCTGCGTCTCCTTCTCCACGGCCGATAGCATCAACATCCGCCATTCCATCACCGCACTCTACATCGTCAGCGGTAAGGGGAGCAACAGCTAGTGCAGGTGCTCCAGGGCATTCCCTAGCTCCGATCCCCCCTCCAGTCCCAGTTGAAACTCATCCCAATCGCGCCGGTCTAAAACCACCTCCATCCCAACGCCCTCCTCCGGACCCAAACCGGCTTGCGCCTGAAGATTCCAACTACGCCCTTTCTCCACCCCGGCTCCGTCCAATATCCGCAAACAACCATGCTGCCAGCCTACGTCTGCCAGCAGCTGTTGCAGCGCTGAGACCACCTCCTGCAGTGCCGGGGACTGAACCGAAATGGACCGGAGATTCGAAGAGAAGGCTTGGATCAAGCCGGAGAAGACCCAAGGGCGCGTGGAAGAAGTTGTTGTGGGTTAAGCAATCTTGTAAGTCATTTTCTACGCGTGTACTCCTCTCCATGTTTTGGATAGGACCAATGGTCAGAATCTAACCGCTCCCCTCGTGCCCTTTCGCCTTCTAGATCCGGATAATTATACCGATACAGAAACGTTTCTTGACCATCTACAACGTAATCCACGTCTACGACCGTATGACTTTTGGCCATTGGTAGCGGATTCCACCGTCATTGTACAGCATGTTTGTTCGGTTGTCATATTCTCCTGTTGCTTCACCGGGATTTTCCAGGAACGCATCAGTCCAGTGTCGGTCGTGGGATGGGGGAGTATATGCACTATTCTAGGTTGGGTGCTGTGGGATTTCTGGGTAGGGAAAGAGCAGGAAGAAGAAGCCCGGTTAGTGTTTATTGGAGAGGCAAAGACAGGATATGCAGGGTCAAGCTCCGGCTCTTCCACGAGCTCTCTCAAAACATCGAATCAAAATGGGAACCATAAGGAAAATCAAATGCCAAGCCTTGGTTTACGATTATCCACGTCAAACCTCGACTGCCAACAACCGCGCCGCCGGAGCATAGGCCGGAGCATAAGCCTGAGCACTTTCAGCATCAACCCTCACACCACGTCCACGGCCTCTGTCCATTCCGCAAACTCCCCACAATCCCCAGCTTCATCATCTCCCTTATCACCAAACTGCCACGGCAACGGCTCGATCCATTTCCCCTCCTACCCTCTACCTACCAACCACCAGCCGCCTACCAACCCTAGCCCCACCTTCCTTCTCTCCCCGCGCAACCGCCAGCGCCTGTCCACGGCCAAGTCCGCCCTCCTAATATTCTGCGCCCTCCTTGGCCTCAGCCCAATCCTTAAATCCCTCACAAAGTCCACAACCAGCGACTCCATTTGGGCCATGAGCTGCTGGCTCATGGTCATCAATATCTTCTTCTTCGACTATAGTAGTAACGGCAGCGGCAGCGGAACGGGCGGTAGCAGCGAAACCGGCGCCACCGCTGCAAAATTCCCGGCCTCCCTGTCCACAAACGCTGCCGTAATGGCATCCACAGTGCTCGCGTCGCGTTTGAAATCTACCACCCACGTTTTCAGCCTTACGCTTTTCTCCATTGAGGTGTTTGGCTTGTTCCCTGTCTTTCGTCGTCATCTGCGTGCCACCTTCTGGAGGGGCCATGTGCTGCTTACGGGTTTGCTGGTGGTTTTTGCCGGTGCAGCGGTGGGGATTACGATGCGCGGTGGGTATATGTCTGCGATATTAGGGGCGATTATCGGGGGGTTGTCGACTGCGTTGGTTATGGGTGGTTGTAGTTGGTGGTTGATTAGTTTACAAAAATATAAGAATGTGGTAGCGGGTCCTTGGGATCCGGCCAGGCCAGTATTGAGGCGGCATTGGGATTAAAAGGGGTTAGTTGTATAGGGAAGGTGAATGACATAGGCTGGATCCTGATTAAACAAATTTTCTTTCTTTCTTTTTCTTTTTTTTTTCTTTTTTTCTTTTTTTTTTTTTTCTTTTTTTTTTTTTCTTTTTTGTTTGGCATGCATTTTACCTCTTTACTCTCTTTGTTTTGAAAAGGAAGTTCTGGGAAAAATCAGAGAAACGGCGTGGGAATACTTAGAGACCTTCCTGTGTATGAACTAATATAACAGCGTAAGTCAATATTAATTTCTAACTAATTCAGCAACAATGATTATATATGCATGCGGTCGGCCGATAGCTACCTGGGGGGATAATATTTCCTAAATCCTTAAATCATTTTTATTTATTGTAGGGTAAAGCAAGGGTTGTCCTTAGATCTTCCGTCCTTTACTCCCTACCAAGGGAAAGAAACTTACATGCAACCTTTGCCAGCTATCCTCGTACCTTAACCTACTGAACTCCCTGCAGCCTTCTCGCCCCACTCGTAAGTTGCCTCCAATATCTTGTCCGCGCTCTCATATACCTCCCTTCCCAACAACACCCGATAATTGCGGCGCACTTCTCTCCCACTCCGTCCAATGCCGGCCAAACCTCCCCCTCAAACAATCCACTCACCTCCTGATTACCTAGCCGCCCATAAGGCGCCATCCCAGCATGAAAAAAAATCTCATACGGCATAGACCCCAGAGCAAACAGATTTGTTTTCGCGCTGCTATTGCCGGCCGAATCATCATTGAGGTGTCAAGGAGCAGTTGGCGGGCGGCGAGGTCGCAGTGAATCATACCGTGGGAATGAATGAGGGAGAGGGGCTTGTATGGTTTGCACGGCTATGTCTGTGAGGAGGTTGATTGCCTTATAAGAACAGGATGTCCTAACTCTAGTGTAAATTTAATTTAATTCAATTAGTTTTTGTTGGGTGTAGATATTTCAGGTTGATACTAAGAGGTCATAAGAGATGAGTGTGAGATAGTTATGTGTGAGATATGACTAGTGTATGTAGTTTTATTGAGAAGATGTCCCCGATTTTAGCATATTTAAATCAACACTGAAGGTTTTTTCCGGCTGAATTTTTAAACCATGTTCCATGTTTTTGAACCACATTCGCACAGTATTTAACCCCCCCCCCCCCCCCCCGGGGCTCAACACTGGTCCGAATATGAAGTCCCATTACCTTCAAATGAAGAAAAATGTCTACTCGAATCTCTCATTCAAGGATACAAAGCCCAAGAAGAAACTCCTCAAAGAGCACTAGCGTATCAAAATTGACATGGTGCTGCAAGAGGACAAGAGAATGTCGAAGCTTCCCTCTTCAGGTATGCTTTTTGTAGAGGTTAGAGGTCTGCTCATCGTGGCAGACTGCAGATTGGGTGATGTATGGCGGGGTTTTTGTTCTTGAAGAGGATAGCAGGAAGGCCGTTGAAGTTGAGGTCTGTTCCTCAGACATGAGAGGCTGGCTCAGGGTGAATAAGTATGGGGCCTCGGGAATATGAGAGTTATGGAATGGTGAGCTCAAATATCTAATTGTACTACAATTACTTGCTCATTGCGTGTCATTTGCCATTTAATGTTTCATTTGTCGTGTGTCTCTTGAAGATTAAATTACCATGACAGTGTGAGCTGATTTTATTAGATATTTATTTCAAAATTCTCAATTTAATGGCACAACTCCTTGGCCTCGAAAGTCCTGATTGCCGTCTGCTCAAATATCTCAAAATATCTGTCTTTGTAGATAGTTATTCGGCAATATAAAAGCATAAAACCGTAATGAGGTTTAGTCATCTTGATTGTTGAGTAGTTATAAGAAAATAAACCTTCGGATCAGGGACATTAGAAAACTTGTAGAATATGTAAAGTGAGTAACTAATTAACTATATGTGCGACACTAATTACATTCTTGACCTCAAATTCTTCAATGAAATTCATCAGAAGAAGAGTATCAGCATTATTATAATCACCATAAGACTCAGAAATATATTCAAAATATTATATTAAAAGTAAATATTCTCTGACAAAAAATACATTTAAAATATTTATATTAAAAGTAAATATTCTCTGAAGTGTAAGTTGTAAATCAAAAAAAAAAAAAAAAAAAAAAAAAAAAAAAAAAAGAAGAAGAAGAAGAAGAAGAAGAAAAAAGAAAAAAAGAAAAAAAATAATATAAAAATTAAATGACAATAATTATAATCTCAAGAAAAGAACACAAATACCAACAGCAAGAGTTATTAAACACTTTTCACTAAATGATGTTGCAGAAGCAGTACCAGTGAACATTGTTGTTATTGAACTTGTTGAGTATTCTCTGAATTTTGAATTGTCTGAATGATTGAGAGCCGGAGCTGAATCTGTAGACAAATGTTCAGATGAACATTGTCTTTTATAGCAGGGTTTTTTAGTGGAAATTGCAGACTGATTTGTAACTAATCCATTCATCTCAGAATAGTTAGGCACTGATGAAAGTGTCAATCCTGTCGGAGTTGAGGCACAAGAAGAGCATCTGGTGACAATTGCAGTTGATCTTGATTGAGTTGAATTTGACTGACTCGCCGGTGAAGAAGTAGTAGTATAAACTGTACTCGGGCAATAAGTTGTTGTATACGTAGTTGTGACTGTAATGACTCCTGTCGGACAAGTTGTTATGTAGGAGGTGGTGATCACTGTGGTTATTGTTGCTGTTGGTAGACTTGTTGAATATGTAGTGACTTTCATAGTAGATTCTAAGAATGTTAGATAAGATTTGTCAGTAACCATTTCTGTGAATTCAATACTTATTGAATATGACATACTACTTAGCTTAGTTTCTGTTGAATATGCTGTGTCTGTTGAATGTGTTGTGCTTGTTAATAAAGTAGTTGATGTAGTTTTAATAGCTGATGTACTGATTGAAGAAGTGTCTGTTGATAAAGTAGTTGATGTACTTCTGATAGTTGATGTGTCTGTTGATGCAGTTCTAGTACCTGATGCACTGATTGAAGAAGTACTTGTTGAAGAAGTGTTTGTTGATGAAGCAGTTGATGTACTTCTGATAGTTGATGTGTCTGTTGATGTAGTTTTAGTAGTTGATGCACTGATAGAAGTGCTTGTTGATTGTGATATGCTTGTTGATTGTGATGTGCTTGTTGATTGTGATGTGTCTGTTGATGAAGCAGTTGATGTAGTTCTGGTAGTTAATGCACTGGTTGCAGAACTGCTTGTTGATTGTGATGTGTTTGTTGATGAAGCAGTTGATGTAGATCTGCTAGTTGATGCACTGATAGAAGTGCTTGTTGATTGTGATGTGCCTATTGATGAAACAGTTGATGTAGTTCTAGTAGTTGATGTGTCTGTTGATGTAGTTTTAGTAGTTGATGCACTGGTTGCAGAAGTACTTGTTGAATGCAGTGTGCCTGTTGATGAAGCAGTTGATGTAGATCTGCTAGTTGATGCACTGGTTGCAGAAGTGCTTGTTGAATGTGATGTGCCTGTTGATGAAGCAGTTGATGTAGATCTGCTAGTTGATGCACTGGTTGCAGAAGTACTTGTTGAATGCAGTGTGCCTGTTGATGAAGCAGTTGATGTAGATCTGCTAGTTGATGCACTGGTTGCAGAAGTGCTTGTTGAAGGTGATGTGCCTCTTGATGAAGCAGTTGATGTAGATCTGCTAGTTGATGCACTGGTTGCAGAAGTGCTTGTTGATTGTGATGTGCCTGTTGATGAAGCAGTTGATGTAGATCTGCTAGTTGATGCACTGGTTGCAGAAGTACTTGTTGAATGTGATGTGCCTGTTGATGAAGCAGTTGATGTAGTTCTGGTAGCTGATGCTCTGGTTGGGCCAGTTCTACGCATGGTTGTCGACGAAATGGTGGTGCCCGACCTAGTGGTTGACAGAGTGATAGTTGTAGAGCTGGAAGTCGATAAAGTGCTCGACGCAGTCCAGGGTGTTTCAACTTCAGAAGACAAAATTGCCAAATTGGCATCGAACAATGCCACCTTTACTTGATCCGAATAGGGAAGACTGCCAATTTGGTTCCCCAAGGCGTAAGTCGCGTCCCACAGCATAGCACCGCCAAATCTGTCCGGGAACCTTGCCATGAACTCTTTGAAAAGTGGTCTCACCTCTTTTATGTCGAGGTAATAATTAGGAAGTGCGGCCTTGGGAGCCGCCGGGAGGCCAATCAACAGTTTTGCAGAAGGGTTGACGCTTGCATCAATTAATTTCATCCACTTCTCAAACATATACGTGAACCCAGATTTATCGCCGTCTATCACCCAACTCCTCGCGGAGCATTGATATGCGTTGTAAAATTGGACGGAAATCCAATCAAACTTAGCGTACTTAATAACTAAGTCCAGTGCTCTTTCGGTAATGAGGCATTCGGGGGCGGCAGAAATAAAAAATTTCTTATTTGGGAATCGTGAGAAATGAGAACGCAACCGATTGACCATGAAAATATACGGATGATACACTATCCAATTAGTTTTCAACCCTCTATTGATAGAGCGATAACATTCTTACCGAACGATTCGTTGTGCTCGATATCAAAATCAAATCCGTCAACAACAACATCACCAAAGGGGCGAGGCCCGTTGCCCCATTCTGGCGTTTTGGGACCAAAAGCACCCCAAAGGAAATCGGCAAATTTCTCTCCAGCTCTCTTGTTTGTAACTGTATAGTTCCCCACACCTCCTCCTAATGAAAGCAAGACTTTTATTCCAATTTCCTGGCATACTGGAATGTCTTCTATAAGGTTTTGACAACCGCTTAACAATTGTGTCTCGACACCGTCCTTATTCTTGAACACTTCGGCAGAGCACTGATTCCCAAAATTGGTTCCTGGGTAGCCTCCTTTGCCTCGTTCCGGGAAGACATTGACGAATCCCAAAACAATGACATTCGTAAATCTGTCATTTGCACAGATATGACGTAAGCGCGGTTGGTTGGGTGCTTGACCCTGTGGTAAAAGTCAGCATGAATGAACCGTCATATTCAAGGGATGAAACCCACATAGTAAGCAACAAGGTTTGTCCTAGATTGGAGATTCAGAATAGCAGTAGCAGAATGTAAAAGTGAGGAAACCGCAACTGCGGCAGTCAAGAGGTTTTTGAGAACCATTGTCACACCAATGGACTTATCAATAATATGTTATATAGGGCCTGAAACTAAACAAGGATCGTGAGATATCAGACTATCTGAAAATGAGCGTGACCGTAAACAACGGTTGACGAAAGGACGCAAACAAAACGTTTAAGCGTAGAAAGCGTGAAAAGAAGGGGAAAAAGGACATAACCTTCCGGGTCCTTGGAGGTTTATAACTTGGGATCGGTAGACGTAAATCAAGGACATCTAGCCTTAAAACACTCAAGGGAACCTCCAGTGGCGTTCGTTGACCATGGTCGAAAGAGCATAGCGCTCCTTCAATAATAGGAGAAGTTCCGTCAAGGCAACCGCCGACCCGCTACAGCAGTCTGGCGGGCCATGGGGTGGGCCATCATATTGCGGTGGTTCTGAGAACCCATGCGTGATATTTTGAAAGCCTGGAAACTCCAGAAAAAGAGAATGCTTGGCAAGAGAAGGTTTGCTCACTGGCACACAATATGATTTTCGAAGGCCATTGTGCACGCGACACACTTGTTCATCAGTACCTGACCTGACAATGAAAGCAGGGATTGTTTAGAGGCACAAAAATGAAGAGTGTTCACTGACATCCCAGCATCAAAAGCTCTGAGAATAATAATATTCTGTTTGGTCAGTACTTCCCTACATGTATGATTCTTTAAGGATATGTTGAAAGGGCATTCCTTGATAGACCAAGTTGGCCTGCGGCTTCAAGCCTTAACGCTCATTATCTCTCCAGGTGGGTCATGAGACAGGGGCAATGTAATTCACACTTACTGCGCCACTTACATGATATAAATCTCTATTCGGCAATGGGCACGGACGTGGCAAAGCGGATATAGATAAATTAGCTACCTCTTAAGACTCTTTAATATCAGTCATGATAATCATCTTACAAATGACTTTGGTTGACGCCACTGTACATACTATTAATGCTAAATATCAATATAAAATTATACGTCCTATTTAAATATCATATAAACTTCAGATAGTTAAAGTAATAAAATTAATTAATTAATAATTTTTAAAAATAATACATATATATATATGTTAAAAATTTGCTTTATTAAAGTTATAAAAATAATATTTATTATTTATAATTTAATTAAATTATTTATTAAATTATCTTTATATAATTTTAATTTTAATTTTTATTATTTTATATAAAATATAATTATATTATTTATAATTATTATATAATTAATTAAAATAATTTAATAATTAATAATATTTTAATAAAATATATTAAAAATATTAATATTAAATTTGAAAATAAATAATAAAAAGTAAAAATAAATTAATATAAAGTTAAATATTTAATTTTTTCTTCTATAATATAAAATAATTTATATAAATTAATTTTTTAATAGTTAAATAGTTAAAATAATTATTAAAATAATATTAATTATATTTTATTTTATTAAATTATTATAGATTTTTATTTTATATATAAATTTTTTATATAATTAATTTATCAATATATTTAATTATATATAAATTTAATTAAATAAATTCATTAAATTAACATTTAAATTTAAATAAAAATCTTGTTTTTAACTTCAAAATAATAGATAAAGTTAGAAATGAGAAATATTTACAGTAAAGTTTATAAGTTCTTATATATTATAGCAACGGGCTCAAATATGACTCAAAAACTATGCTCACAAGAGTTAAATTACTTAAATTGATTAAAATATTTAAAATAAATACTTCTTAAGAAAGTATGCTCAAAGATGTCCAAATTAATTTTTCGGAAAAAGATAATTATAAAGGTATACAGGCTTCAAAAAATTAAAACCCTTTGAAAAATAGTGACCGATTTTGATATTTTTGTATGGGAACTATCTGTGAACTTAGCAATCTGTGTTCCTGCAGTTCCTCAATGAACATGCGTCAAACCTGTCCACTGGACCACTATCAGCACGGGGGATGGAGTGGACCCTGGCTCACTGTAAATAATGCCGCGGACAAAACCTGGGTCCCCGTTTCTGAGACCCACATGATTGTATCCAGATCCTCTGATGGCAGGGGGTTTACTCGCTTTGAAGGATTTCGACGATGCTTCTGATAATGTTGGATCATTGCCTCACCCATCCTATTAGTCCTTGTGATTGGTTGTCGATATCTTTTCCGTGAGCTCTGGAGCCTGGACTCCAGCGGTATTTTTGGCCAAGGAACAAGTTAATTAAAAAACAACAGCCTTCAAGCCCAAATTCATGACAATAGAAAATCACCAAGGTTCTGTATGCTGGGCCTTTTGCCCACTAGCTACGTCAAATTCACAATTCTATCAAAACGATATAACTAAGTGTTTTTAGATTATTAATTATTCTTTTACATTTAATTGTGTCCAGAAGGCTTACCACGGTAATTTCACATCCATACACTTTGCTGTACCGCCCTACCCAGACAGCATTCTACCGGCACTCAACCAGCGCCAACAGTCGTGACTCAGGATAAATGCGTTGAAATGAGGTCTCCTCCATTGATGGAAAAGAAGGATGTGAAAGTACGATCCACAGATCCCGTGGGAGCGCGACCATCTGAAGAGGTTATCAATGCTTCTGGACATGGGACAGGAGCTGGAGCGCAACTTCAACTTAATGAGTATGAGTATTTGCGCCATCGGGATCACGAGGGAAACACATGGATTGCAATGGGTGGCAGTATTGCATGTTGTTGCAAGTTTGGCGGAAATATATATTCTGATATTGATTGGCATAAACCAGAACATCGCCATTTTTAACGGTGGGCACCTGATGTAACATATGAATTGTAAACTTTGTACTCCCCTTGCCTTTATCTAGCAAAACCGAAATGCATTTCCAAGTGTAGAATGTTTTTAGTATTGCTGTCGCGATTTGTTACTGGACTTTTTCCACCTCCATTGAGGAATTGGCTTCCTCAATGCCGTCAGGCTGGAGGTATGTCGCACAACCATTTGTAATCTGCTACGCCCAATTGACAACTGAAGAATGGTATGATTCCATTCTTCAGCTGTCAATTGGGCGTAGTATCATTAGCAAACACAACAGCCGGGCGTTTCGGTTGTCCAGTTAGCTGGTTCGCCGGCTATTGGAATTGCCTCGCATGCGTATTTGGCGCTGCCTCCATGTCCTCGACTCTCGCCAACAAGATTGTATCGATGTACATGCTTTTCCATCCGGAGCTGTAGTCACAGGGCTGGCGCTCCTTCTTCAGCTATATCAATTGCACGTGGTTATGCCGCTGCATCGTTTTGCTCGCCAACAAATCCTTGCCTGCCATCAGCAATCTGCGTATGTCCCTTATTATCGGCAGCGTCCTCGTTATGAGTCTGGTGTGAGCCATCATGCCACATGTAAAAAGGCGGGGATATACATCGAATAGCTTCGTTTGCCGGGGCTTGGAATACCAAACAGGTTATTCGAGCAATAGCTTCGTCTTTGATTCGGAGGAAATTCCCAAGTCTGAACTCCGAACCATCCTCATAAAACCCGATATTTTTTAACTAAAATTCTCAACCCAGGCCAAGCCGCAACATTTCCAAAGCCGTCCTAGCCCAAATGTCCGCCAGATTCGTCACTGCGATAACCTACCTGCTCGTCATTCCCTATGCCATTTATGATCCCTCCGTTGTTCCCGAAAACAAATTCTCCTTTCCCCTCGCTAAGTTCTATTGACAAGCCAGAAGCCACACCACGGAGGTGCAATTAGCCTTATCATTGTCGTGTGTCTCCTTCCCCCCCCTCCCCCAACCAATAACTTGCATCGGCTGCTACATCACGGCTGGCCGCACTTTCTGGACCCTGGCCCACGACAATACCACGCCATTCAGCCTCCGGCTATCGCACGTTCAGCCGCACCTATCACAACACCTTCAATGCCACGGTTACCTGAGGTTGCCTCATAACAATCTTAGGCTGTATCTATGTCGGCTCAACGACGGCATTCAGCACGCTGGTCGGCTCGTTCATTTCTCGTCGCTATCATATACTGCCGCGATTCTACCACACCTTCCTAGTGGGCGATCGGGGATCCGACGGGGTTATTTCCTTCATGTGCGGCTGGATGCAATTCGTGAGTGCGCTTGTGTGTTTGTGTATGAGGGCATTCATTGATGGATTCTCCCTCCCGTTTGCACTGCCAGATACTATGAAGGATATGAATGACACTTCATTAATTACTGCAGGGTTGACTGTCTTTGCTGTGATACGATAAGTGTGTAGACGAAAATATTATATTGGGCCTAATGAAGTGTGGTTTGGTGAGGTGATGTTGACTTTGGATGCTCTCTGATTTCCTTTTATTCTTCTCAATGGGTAAATAATCGCTCTCATCATATCATTAAGAGAGGGATGCCTTTTGTCCATTCAGCCAGGTTTATCGTCGTGGCAGGAGAGCGGAAGACTTCATCAGTTGCACGCACATATGCATAGATATAAATTTTTTTTCGTCCTCGGAGACTGTAACGATGTATATATGGATGTATTCAAATGGCTCAGATAGCCGTGTTAAATAAAATCGAAATTTGTGTCCAATTTTGTTGTTTTTTGTTAGCCGTTCTGTCTCTACCATCGGTGGGTTGAATATATATGTTATATGTATATATGTATAGTGTAGACTTTTCATTACCATGGGCAATCCTGTCGGACACTTACGTCACGTGACCCGTTTTCCACCACCAAGCCCGCCATTCTGTCACAATCCTCAGGTACCTGCAGAGAACTACGTACATACCATGCAGCAAGGAGTGGATCGCGAAAAATTCCGCCGTTCTGGCAAATTATATCCTGGTCTCCGCTAGGCTGATATTTAGTTAAAAGGGAACAAACATTACCACCATTTCAGCGTGGACTGAGCAGAAATCGGTTTACTCGCAGTCGGACCCGTGCCTTTTGAGAGAAGAACTGAGATGTTGGAGACTGTCAGTTAGCCTAACAACGTTATCTCCTTATTCCAAGCATCATCAGGGAAGATCATCAGACGCAAGACAGACAGAACGACAGACAGTTATCAGATTCCCCCGCAAATCCAATGATAATTTTTCAATGCGAAATTGAGGTCGGTCTCCATACTTCCTTCAACAATTTTCAATAATCCGCCTTAGAGCACATGTTGATGGAAGAATCAGTTATCTTTGTCCCGTAGTTCTATTCGATACAGATTCTAGCAGCTCTGACATTTGCAATTTTCGGAGCGTCGTAGGCAGAAGGGGACACAGGAAGAGAAAAAAAAAAAAAAAAAAAGCCAAAGTTGGAGGAAAGGTATTTTCAAACAGCGCTGAGGCTCTGAGCATACGTCTTCCAGGGCACTGGTGACAGCACCTTGTTGGTCATATCTAAAAAATACCAGGCCACTCACAGTGTTTAGCAGAGTCCCAGAGGACCAAAAACGGTCAATTGCATCAAGCATTCTGGGAGGCGACATCAATGACTAAACTGGCAACCATCGAAGGATTTCTTCAGATGGGATACCGGTGCATTTTACCCCGGACAGTAGTTTTTCTGTGCCATGTTTTGGGTGCCTGCCGAATTCAGGTGAGTATTTGCGACCGCTCCAAGCTGATATCTATATGATGATATGGATGTGATTGGAGATGGATGCGAGTCGGAAGCCAAGAGGCAGCACCAAAAACTTGATTTCGTCTAACCAGCCGTTGTTAGTTATTGGATGTTTTTGCTGCCCGAACGAGGGAGATCTCCTTGGTGCTGCTGAGTTAAATCCAGAACAACCTCAGCATCTCCGAGCCAATCAATAGTTGCCCTCCCCCAAGTAACTAACTATGTGACACTTAACGCAAAAGTGGTCGCTGATCGATTGACAATTAAAATATGAGATTATCGAGCTGGACATCGTATTGGCCAGTCAAGGAGGTGTTCTTCCAGGCCTCATGGTCAACCTGAAACCCTCAATGCCGAATGTGTTCGGCTGCCCAATTACTTCTGTTCAATTTAGTTTTCCGTGATTTTGAATTACCAAATGCCGCAGATACCTTGCTTCCAACGATGCACTATTTAACTAACTAGTGGTGGTATTTGGACGTAAGAAGGCATTTAGCCGACCTGTCAGTCGCCACAGGCCCAGCATCCTCACCCTCAAATGATACGTACCTAATAATAGAACACACTCACGATGTCCCCTCTTGGTTTATGGTTGGATGGACGGCCATACATCCCTGCCATCTTATCCACTTTAAAATGCTAGAAATGAGCTGCTTTCCCTGCGTTCTGGCATCCACGCTTTTCCTTGACAGCCAATGGGAAATAATGGTGCGAATCCACCCCGAAATTCGTTGTTCGGCATAATCCGTGCGTGATTCCCGTCCCCTTCAATCCTCGCCAATTATGGAAACGCAGCACATTGATCGCCAGTAGCAAGGGGCTTCGTCCGCGTCGTATGTTATTTGTTTAAATATCACCTCCTCCCTCACAGTCGTATTTGCCGTTGTTCGTCTTGTTGATATCTCCATAATTGACTTGAAAACACCGGACTGCTAGTTTTTTCTATTAACATAACCAAGAGCCAAAAGAAACGCGGAAGCACAATATAAGTTCAATAAAGCAAAAACCTGAAAAGGAAGAGAGAAACTATACAGAGCGTGGTTAGATTGCATTGGTGGGGGGAAAAAACCCACAGCGCTTGGGCATCTATAGTACTACCGTCGGGTAGTGAGCATCAACTTTTGGAGAATCATCACTACCGAGATGAAGGATACCCGCGTGACATATACACATACATAATGAGACCAATCGCCCTCCTCCTTCCGTCTCTTATTCTTCTACAATTCACCCTTTGTGCTACCGCTTTGCCATTCGCACAGTCTCTATTGTCTAGAATCGACACTTCGGATGCTGCGCCTGGCCAGGATGTCTTCGCACTCACCTCACCATATGAACTAGAGTCCCTCACAACGGAAGGGAGGCGACTCAGCAGCCTCTCCACACAAGAGAGCCTCGATACCCGCCGGCTTCAACAGCTCAGAGATCTATATTTCAGCCGCATTTCCCTCAAGGAGGTGCGCAAAATAATTCTTTGGCTTCAAGAAATTTGGCTCTCGACTGACGGTCTGATTCAATGCCTGCAGGAGTTGGCTCATATCGGAACTCCCAATACCAATCTATTATCATCGCTATCGACACAATCTTCGACGCTTCCCGAGAAACCACTACCGTCCACCTTTCTTATGCAACTGGAGGACAAAATCGAGCCCGCCCTATTGACATCTGGCCTCAAAATTAGAAATCACGACGCTGAAACGCTGAGCCAAGATTTCCTAACATTTCCAAAAGCAGACATTCAATCACAGCTGGAACCAGCATTCATTTCAAATAACCTACAAAGCACCGTCCCACGCGCAGCATCATCTGTAACTACCACTAACTATAAAACACTGGCACCCTCATTGATATCAGGAACAACAGCTGCTGCTGTCACTGACGTTTCCATTTCATGGACCATAGATGGTATTGACGCCCTCATTCGCTCTACATTCGGCCGTCCCATATGGACCACATTTCTCGTCATCACGACGCTAGCAATTCTTTTCCTTATTTCAGTTCTAATTGTAGAGGTGACGGGTTTCCTCTGGACCTTTGCCAGATCGGGATTATCGTGGCTGCGGTCAAATTGCTCGTGGTGGAGGTGGCAGCGGGCTATTCGTCTCTCTGGGGCGGAGAGACGACTTATTGCAGTCCCTGCAACAGACAGTGATGAAAAGAGAGTGGAAAATAGTTATGCTGAGTTTCGCGAAGTAGAGCTGTGCTAATTATTTGCTCTTGTCCCACTTTACTTTTCTATCTTACGATGCCTATTTTCTTCTTTCTGCATGGGGAGTTTATTGGAGATGCATATAACCAAGTAGGGTGTTGAGTTGTTTCCCTTTCCTGTGTCATTTTGCCATATATCCAAATCTACTGCGGATGAGTGTTTGAAACCCCACTCTCGCGAAATTTGGAACGATGGTACTTGGTCTCAAAGATTAAATATTCTCGGTTTCACTGCAATTTGCCAGCCCGTCTTGAAAATATAACTACATCTTCCATCATGAACCCAAAACTAAATAACTATCCTGCAACACGGAGCTAATTTACTCAGAACTATCGAATCAAGCTTTCATCACAATTGAAACGATTTAACATTTTCTACGTTTTCTTTCATCGGATCCATGGATTTGGTTCGAGATAAGCTAATAAAACACCGTAACTACTAATATGAAGTTATGACGTGCCCTGGCAATCCGCCAAGACATCCATCTAGTAATCAAGTCGCAGGCCTATTTTAAGCCCCACATTCATGTATCATGTTGCACAGTCTCATGAGAGATTAATTAATCTCCCTAATTGTTCTTTACAGAGGCAGTCCTAGCATAAGTAGCGGGGGAGCCTGAAACTAGCTTGTTCACCGCATAAGTCAAACTTATTTTCAGACAACTTTTCACTTAAAACCACATCAACGGGGTTTCTCAAGTCTCCTTCCTGGCAAGGTTGGTAGTGAAGAGGGAGAGTTTTGTTATTTCGCGGAAAACATCAGAAAGTTCAGAGAGGTATATAGTGGGTATTTATTGAACATATGACAGTTATATTGAATGCTTTCTCCAATTGCCTGATCATGTGTGGACTCTATAAATCCGGAGGAGAGGATTCCATTTAATATAAGAATTTCATATCATTTAACCAGTTAGATAGTTATATAAAAAGAGGCAGGCTGATGCAAACAGGCTGGAATGAATAAGCACAATGTTGATAAGCAATGCAAGGCTAGTTACCCCCGTTTTCAAAGGTCAGAAAAATCAACAGAAAAGCCTCCAAAAGGTTAAGTTAACCAAGCTCTGTGGAAAATACATCCTCTCCTCATTTCCTCCAAGCAGTCAACTTAGCCGAAATTAGTTACGTAACTAATGCTCCAACCGGGCCAACAGCCGATCTCGGCAATTCCTCCCGGCACTGAGCAGGAATGCCGAATCCGACTCCCCCCGGGATTGAACGCCTATCAAAAAATCGCAATATTATCGCCGACTTTTTATATCTCCTTGTTTGTCTGTCATACCACAATGAGTCCCGACCCATGATGGACAGGAATTTGTTGGATTTTAATTTAAATTCTTGATTAATTTTCTTCGACGTAGTTATTTGTCTTTGCATTTTCTCAATCTCCCAGTCTTGTGAGAACCTTATCTACTCTTCCACCATGACTAAATACCAGCTTCCCTTTCAGGTATGTCAATTTTCACCCTCAGAAGCTGGGTTCCCCGCACTGTGGATGATCCAGGGGAGAAGAGTTATTGTTGATAATCACCTGTTGGATAGCTTGACGACCCAAGCCTTCTGCACTTTGACTCCTTTGTCAACAATGAGTGGGTTACGGCAGATGACGGATGTCGATTTGAAGTCATAGGTAAAACCCGTATAATCTTCTAAGAAACAGGGAAAGCCATAAAAGTACTAATTCCATGGTTAATTCACAGACCCCGGCACCGCGATTCCGTGGGCCAGCTGCCCCAATAACTCCGCTGCCGAAGTTCCCAGGACGGTTGAAGCCGCCCATGCTGCCTTTGAACAATTTAAGAAAGTGAACCCTCGCACCAGAGCGCAGCTCTTGATGAAATGGGATGCCCTGATCCGCGAGGCCCGCTCCGATCTCGCCAAAATCCTCACCCACGAAACCGGGAAGCCCATCGCGGAGGCTTGCGCTGAAATCGACTATGCCCTAGGCTTCACATGGTGGTTTGCCGGGGAGGCAGAGAGGATTCAGGGCGGAATTTCCATAGCCTCGGCTCCAAACAGGCGCGTGTTCACATTTAAACAACCAATTGGCGTCGCAGCGGCGTTGGTGCCATGGAACTTCCCCATTGCTATGGTGTTGCGAAAAGCTGGCGCTGCATTTGCCGCCGGATGCACGATGATCGTCAAGCCCAGCCCCGAAACACCTATTACCGCTCTCGCCCTTGCCCATCTCGCTCAAAAGGCTGGATTTCCTCCCGGCGTCTTCAATGTTCTTACAACCGATCTGAATAACACCCCGCCGCTCAGCGAAGCCCTCTGCAAACACCCACTCGTCAAGAAAGTGACCTTCACTGGCTCCACACGTGTCGGCAAATTGATTGCCGCTCACTGCGCTTCAGGCCTCAAAAAACTGACCCTTGAACTTGGCGGCAATTGCCCTTTTATCGTTTTCGATGATGCAAACCTTGAGCAAGCGATCAGCCAACTTATGACTCTCAAATGGCGACATGCCGGCCAAGCCTGCATCACGGCCAATCGCATCTACGTGCAAAGCGGCGTGTACGAGAAATTCACCGAGATGCTCAAAGATCGCACCAGCTCACTTGTTGTCGGTCACGGTGCCAAGCAAGCCACCACCATGGGCCCTGTTACCACACAGCGCAGTCTTGATAAGGCCATCGCCCAGGTGGAGGATGCGGTGAAGTTAGGTGGGAACGTCATTTTAGGCGGCTCACGGAAGACGAGCTGTGGGGGTGGATATTTCTTTGAGCCGACTATTATCGCTGATATGAAGTCAGAAATGTTGATATCGCGCGAAGAAACGTTTGCGCCAATTGCAGCACTGTATAAGTTTGAGACGGAGGAGGAGGTGGTGAAGTGGGCGAATGACACGAGTATGGGTTTGGCTAGTTATGCATTCACGAAGAATGTGGATCGAATGTGGAGGATGTTGGAGAATTTGGAGGCGGGGATGATTGGGATGAATACTGGTATGCTCACGGTCCTTGTTGTCTCTTTCTTTCTCTGCCGTTCCCTTGCTGACTTACTTGGAAATATAGGCAATTCATCCGCCGCCGAGTCACCGTTCGGTGGTATTAAGGAGTCCGGATATGGAAAAGAGAGTGGTAAAGACGTCGCTGTTGCTGAGTATCTGATTACCAAGACTGGGACCCTTACTTTAGAAGGGCAATATTAAGTTGGGCAAAGCAGGGCGATTGAATCGACTTAATCGCTTTGCGGAGAGTTTTGTTGATGATTGTTAGGTGAAGATATCTCCATAATGATATCTCGATAATGATCAAATACACTCTCTAATTCACGACAATATGGTAATGAACCAAGCCTCATTTGGTGATTGAGTAAGTATTCAAATTCCTATCTATACGGAACGTCTTCTCTGGCCATCCTCATCTGCATCTTTTTTTCGGAGAAAGGAAAGTGATAGGGAAACACTATCCGTCAAATCCCTGAACAGGAGACAAATCGATTTTTTAAAGCAATCATTTTCACAAGAAATCCATGCAATTTCATTCGATCATTTGCGGAGTACAGAGCAGATAACTATAGCCTATTATTATTATATTGCTGGCAACTTCCCGACTTGGGTTCCCCTGAAAATTAAGGTTAAGCTCTACCCTGTTCTTACCATGGCTTGTATTAAGGTTGACCAATAACAAGCCGCTTCCGGAAACCTTAAATTAGTTTGTTTACCCACGAAACCGCGGTGCAAAATTCTAAATCAGTCCAGGTATGGCATCAATGGCTTTCACATTTTAGATAGTATTCTCCGAGGATTTTAAGTTATTTAAACACATCTAGTAACTCTTAAGTCAAAGCAGTCCAGTATTGCTACCTCTGTAACATATCCTTGATCAAACTGCTATCATATTCTTTGATAACAAAGTTGAGCAATAGGGAAACAACAGAGGAGTAAGGTTAAGGTATACATGTCCTTGCTGGTTCTCCTCTTATTTCGGACGGGCAACGTTATCCGGAATAATTCTCAGCTTGTGTGGCGTAATGATGCCTGATGAAATTGACCAAATGAATTCGGAAAACTAGCCTGATGAACCGGATTTTCTGTTTTAAACGACATATGTTTCCAATTAATTCACCCATAGCCTCCAGAGCTCCAGACAAAAGAAAATTGACATGGGAACCTTATTTGCAATTATTTTTTCTGATTATGCTGTCTTACTTGTGATTTCTCTGTAGAGCAGCCCATAAGAGATTCTGCGGTTAAGACATGCTATCAAACGGCCCAGAGGCAGACTTTTGCAACACTAGTATTAGGTTTGCTATGCTATGACGAATGGGTAAATATGACCCGGGGGGGGGGGGATTATGGTACATATCAGGAAGCAGAATTACCCCCCATCGGCGCCTTTATGGATATTAAAAATCTATAAGTAGAACTGTAGCAACAGTCTAACTAGCCAGTTAGGACGAAGCACTACATAAAAGCTTAATACATACATCTCCAGGACCAACCATTCGACAGGTCTAGTTTTACATAACAACTTTGAATGTAACTAGTTAACTAACTAATAACTAGTTAGGTTGCCAGGACATGCCCAGTAGTGGATTAGCATGGTTTTACAGTCAGGCTGTTTTTACACGTTTATTTAAATAAAGGAACGATATTTCCTGCCATATGATCCGAGAACTTATGTCCCCGATCGCGCAGCTTTCAAGTATGTTCACACCAGGCTTTGCAACCACAGCGGCCATAAGACGTGGTCTCTTATTCAGCTCTGAGGCTGAGAGATATTTGATACGTGAACGTGATATCCCATCTCAACCGTGGCCCTTTGCTCAGTAACGGCGGCTGAGACAAAATGCGACTCCGATGTTTGGACATTGGACATTTTTCAGGGAAGTTACACTCCTGGGTGATACGGAGCTAGGTGATCCCTGTCGCTGCTGATGCCGACCGGAAACGGTAATTGCGAAGTTATGTCGCCGTTGCAGTGAGAAAGTCGGCGGACAGTCAGTCTATATTTACAGCTAGAATTCGTTTATATATATATATATATATATATATATATATCAATTCCCCTCCTTCATCTTCATCATCATTCTCCTAGAAGCCCCTAAACCGCACGACAAGATCGTCTCTATCATTACCACCTAGACCCTGTCCCCTAGAAGACAAACTCCCTCAGTTAACTCTGTTCCATCCTCCAGGGCTATGGCGGACATAACAGCTTTGCAGCGCTTCATTTACACCCATCCTATCATCGACAATCATGCCCACAATATTCTCAAAGCGGACTCCGCCGTCGACTATGACAGATATCCTTTTGAGTATATAACTTCAGAAGCTCAGGGCGAATCCCTTGTAAAACATTCTTCCAAGTCTCTCGCTCATATCAGAGCCATCAACCAGCTATCGGAGCTATTCGGATGTGCTCCTGAATTGAGTGCCATCAAATCTGCCCGGGACAAGGAAATTGAGGGCGATTATGCTGGTCTGGTTAAGAAGTGTCTCATGGGAACCCATATGCTATTGATAGATGATGGCTTAACTGCAGACGACGTAGAGCCGTACTCGTGGCACGACGGATTCACGAATGCACCATCGATGAGAATTGTTCGCATTGAGACCCTTGCTGTCACTCTCTTCCGTGACCTCCTATGGGTGGAGCATAAACCACTGGAATCTTGGCTCACAGCAGGGCAAGAGGCTATTCAAGATTTGTGGAACGACTTCCGATATAGCTTTAGCACAGCAATCGAGAATGCACTGGATGATCCTGCAGTTGTGGGTTTTAAATCTGTTATCTGCTACAGAACCGGACTCAAGATCCAAATCCACTCTGCAGCAGAGCTGTTTACCAGCTTCCAAACGTACTTCCGAACCTTTATGGAAAGCGCGGAAGCCAGGATCGAGGATAAGCCATTTAACGATTATCTTGTCATATCTGTTCTTGAAAAGCTCTCCCAGCGGCGAACTGAGTTTGGCACCTCAAAACCAATTCAATTCCACACTGGACTAGGAGACTCCGATATAATTTTGCTCCGTTCAAATCCGGCACACCTACAAAAGCTGATGGAAGACTATCCCAATGTTGATTTTGTTCTGTTGCATTCATCATATCCGTACACTCGAGAAGCGGGATACCTGGCTAGCGTGTATGCGAACGTGTATCTAGATATCGGCGAGGTCTTCCCCATGATCAGTCGGGATGCTCAAATCTCGATCCTTCGGCAGAGCCTTGAGTTGGTCCCGACCACCAAACTCCTTTGGAGCACAGATGGTCATTACCATCCCGAAAATTTCTGGCTTGCGAACAAGCAATTCCGGCAGGCTCTAGACATTGTAAGAAAAATACCTTCTATTGATTTATCAATCAACTAATAAAGTGCCACTAGGTTTTTACGGAATATGTCAACAAAGGGGATTACACCTATGCCCAAGCTATCGAGGCTGCTCGGGATATAATGTTTTCCAATTCAAATTGTCTTTACAACCTGAACCAGTCCCCTAAGATTTCCGACGTCAATTTTGTCGAAACTCCCATATCAACCACAATGTTACTTCAATCAGCGGGGGTGAGTACGCCAGAAGAAACACTTAAAAAGTTTCTACATAAGAATTCGTCTGTGGACTTTATATGGATGCAATGGATTGATTATACTGCCACCCTCCATGTCCGCATATTCCCCGTTCGGGAGTTTAATAAGATTGTCACTTTAAAACGAACAGTAGGCATTACTCTAGCAGTGTTGAACATGCTACAAACTGATCAATTGGTCCCCCCTGACGCGAGGCCTGTTGGCCAATTCATCTTAACTCCAGACCTCACTACCTTATGCCGAAATATCGGACTCTCCTCAAACAGTGCAACGGTTATGACATTCTGGAGGAATGAAGCAGGTGGAGAATTGGAAGGATGTCCGCGAACCATTCTCCAAAGCATTGCGAACAAATGTCAAATAGAATATGGCATTGAGACGCTTATAGGTTTTGAAATCGAAGTGGTTTTCCTGAAACCTACAACCAAGGAAGACGGCTCAACCACCTACTCCCCTTGGCTTACCAATCACTCATGGTCCGGCATGACTTCAGAAACAGTTCAGGCCCTGCCATTGCTTGAAAAAATTGCCGATAAACTGAAAGATATAGATATCCGGCTTGAGCAGTTCCATGCCGAGTCATGTCCAAGCCAATTTGAGTTTATTCTACCACCATCAACCCCCCTTGCTGCAACTGACACACTCATCAAAGCTCGCCAAACAATCACCAACATAGCTGCACAACATGGGTTACGAGCCACGTTATATCCTCGCCCTTACCCCTTTGCAGCAGGCACTGCAGCTCATACGCATATCTCGATTACCCCGTCGATTAAAGAAGATTCCTTTCTAGCAGGAATGCTTCTGCATCTCCCATCGGTTCTAGCCTTTACTTTTCCCCAAGAGGCAAGCTACGCGAGAGTAGCAGAGGGGGTCTGGGCTGGTGGTGTATGGCTAGCCTGGGGCTATCAGAATCGGGAAACACCCATTCGAAAAATTTCTCCGGGTCATTGGGAGGTCAAATCCGTGGATGGATTGGCGAATCCTTACCTGGGGGTTGCAGCAATTATTTGTGCAGGATATCTAGGTTTGAAAGCCAGGTCCCCACTGGAAATCAAGGGCTGTGATGGTAATATTTCCCTCCCTTCCCTTATACAGTCATAACCGGCATCCCATTTCCCTTTGAACTTGTAGCCCATTCTCTAATTACCCGCCCTCTTCATTATTTTGCGTTCATCTATTAACCCCGTAACTCTTGATTATTTTAGTTGACACCGCAATCCTGTCGCCATCCGAACGCGAGGCATTATCAATTACAACCCGTCTACCATCATCGCTAGATGAGACTCTTGAGGCCCTCGAAGGAAATATCGATCTTCAAAATCTCATGGGTAGAGACTTTGTGAGGAGGTACATTGGGGTCCGGCGAGGGGAACAGCAAATGTTGAACAAGATGAGCGAGGATGAGAGGAGAAATTGGTTAATCGAGAGGTATTGATTAAGTCACAAAATGATGAAATAACCTTGGCTGTTTTCTTTTCCTCTTTTGTCTTGTGTTTCTAACTAGGTCATGATGCTTTTATTTGATATTATTATCCTTGAAGCCCTCTCCTATGAGAAGATTGTATCCCAGAGTTCTTTCAATGCTTGTTTGTTATAATCTTGCGTTTGAGAAAATTGAACTTCTGATAAAATCGTATTTAAATTGCATTCAATATATCTCATTCTTAAAAGAGATGTTAAAATAATATGAATTATAATTAGTAGAAGTATATTTCATAGTCGAGACTGAAGATGTAATTTTCAAATATTGAAGTAAATATATATATAAGTTAAAATAAAGAAGAAAATATTACATTATATATATATATATACATATATATTTTTAATTATTTATAGAAAAAATTTAATAATATTATTATTTTATTTTATATGATTATAATTCAATACAATAAAATATTAGCAAAAAATTACTAATTAAAATTATAAAATAATTGAATAATTAGCAATTGAGACGGCGTAGAACGGGCTCCGTCCAGACTACTCGACAGCGTAAGGCCACTGGGCTGAAAAGGGTAATAATTGCAACTGCCTAGCAACGGCATAGCAACCACCCCGCAATTACCCCGTAAACACAAGAACTGCCTAGCAACGACCTAGCAACCGCGCTAAGGAAAGGGGTATATAAAAACAAAGCCTTCCCCGGACCTGTCTTTCAGGAATCATCTTAGTATTTCGTCGAAGTAGCTTACCTAGTTGGCAATCAATAATCACCTGTTTACCTGCGCCTAGATTGAAGCCGACACACTGCAGCAAGTATAATAGTCTGTCATACTACTAGAAGCTGTCAACAGACCTCAGAAAGAGATCTATATATTTAATATGAGAAATTTTAGTTAGTGATTACTTGATTTTATGATTTATTAATTATAATGTAAAGTGGTACATTGAGCAGTAAGATGCATTTCGTGATGAATTATGTTAGTTAATAACTTTTAACTTTGTTAAACAAAGTTATATTTAATTTTTATTAGTACTGTGTATGATCAGCTGATATTCTTTAATTAGCTAAATAAAAACTTTAATTGATGAGATTAACTAACTAGTGAGTTATAAAAAATAGTTATCTAATTATATAATATTTAATCTTGCTGCTCTGCTGTTTACCTCTTCTTACTAACATCAATTACTCAATTTAACTATCAGCTGCTTATCATAAAGACCTGACGAAACTTTCTCTTAAGTATAATCATAGCAGGCAAAGCTCAGGCTATTATAGTATTAACGGTCTCAATTGCAGTTGCTCATTATCTATCCTTCAACTGTATGAGAGATGGCTTGCCTTCTCTCTCAGCACTGAAATTATAGGTAGGTAATTATACAATGATGACGTAATAAACCACCTGAATTAATATTACAAGAGAAAATAATGCAGACTCTCAAGTTGATAAGAGACACAAAACTTTCTCACGTAGATGCAAAATGAAACAATGCTGTAAGAAAGGAAATAAATGCACCAAAAGGAGGATATCCATCTACAAGAGTAAATAGTATGGCTTAAGACAGAGATTGTGGAGATTTGATCAGGAAATGAGGAAATTTCCGGAGACAAAACACCATAACGGAGGACTTCCCATAAAACCATCAGGCTGAAATTCATACTGATGCTATAGTATCAAGCATTAAAACTTCTCTATCAATCGTTTGCGGACCGTCCACATGCGAGCTCTTTTTCCGAATATATACATCGGAATCGAGGTGAGCATGCAGGCGATATGAATACCACCCAACGCGACGAAAACATCGCGCGCTCCATCAGCTTTCAGCCATTGAACGAAGAACAACGAAAACACGAAACCGTGCAATACGTCTATGAGTTGAAAAGAGTTGAAAACCTGTTAGCAAGTGTTTTGATTTTGTGAAGGAATTTGTTTGATCCGTAGAATCTGTCGACTTACTTTTGCAAAAATTCAGCGTAACCAGAGCCTCGCCAGCGTATTGACGGTAGCTGTCGACACAAAAGGTGATGGCAGTGGTACTTCCGACAGAGCATCCAAAGGAAAGTATACCGAAGAAGACGGTGGGGATGATCCACCGGTCTTTTTCTTGAGCACTCCATCCAAAGCCCATGAGGCCCATAGCTGTCGTAATTGTAATTGGCACAGCCATTACAAGGCGAAACTCAGGCTCATACACCCCACCGTTTCGGCGTGTCATGAACCGGACGATAATATCCGAAACTTTGCCCGCAACTGCTGTCCCAAAGATGCCACCGACAAAGGGGGAAATGTATACGAGGCCTGTTGCGAGCGCAGAGAAATTATAACTATCTTTATCACGATAAATTTCTGCCACAGCTTCCGACAGGACGATCAGCCATCCAACGGAGAGCGCATAGACCATAGATGACCACAAGACAGCAGGGTAGGCGAAAAGGAGGAATGGACGGATCATGACACGCAGCCACTTATCTTGGGAGAGGAGTCCATTCCAGACACGAAGAGACTGGATATATCCCTGAGGAGGACTAGCCTGGAGATTGCTCGTGTAGGGGTGGATTGAAGGAACCGATGAAGAGGAGGGTGCAGCGGATCGGTCCCGAGAAGCTGATACGAAACTAGATGCTTCAATATCCGCACTTTCGCCTCGTAGACTTGAATCATTGGGTGCGCTAGTGTGATCGTCGACCAGTAAAGACTGTTGCAGCTGAGGTCCCTCTCCGACGTGATCCTTTTCCTCTGGAACTGGTCTGTTCGTATTGGCAGTTGAAGATTTATGTATGTGAGCATGGGCTGTCCTATCGTCATGACGATCCTCTCCCCCCTTGGCCTCACTTTTGCCTTGCATATCCTCCACAAAATCGACGCGGGCTTGCGTACGTTTCGACAATCTTTCCGGCGTCAGTGCATTTTGATCCTTTTCCGCGGAAGGGGTTAAAGGATTTGAAGGTCGTCCTCGACGCGCGGAAGTCACTAGGTCAGATAGACTCCGGCGATAGGCAGGACGCTTGTGGCGGGGACGCGGAGTCCGATCCCAAAAACTCTCTGGAACAAATAAAAACACCAAAACAAGGCCAAACCCAACCGTTATTGCCACAATCCTGTAAAATGAGCCAGATATTCTGTATAAACTTAAGGAGGAAGGGGCTCACCAAAATACCCAGCGCCAACCCAATCTCTGTGTTATCGCAGCGCTTACCAAGGGAACCAAATTTTTCCCACCCAATAATAGGAGAGTGTAAATCCCAACACGATATGCACGCTCATGCAAAAAGAAAATTTCCGCAATTGTAGCAGATGGAAGGCACTCAACGGGGCTGACAGCGATGCCCTGAAAAATTCGTGCTAGAAGCAAGCTCGTATAATTGGGAGAAACGGCACACCAAATTGCTGAAACAATAAACATAGCAGAGCCCGAAATATAAATGGGACGTTTGCCGTAAAGAATTGCCGTTGGGGACATAATCACTGAGCCCAGGCCAAGGCCCAACATATATAAGCCAGTGGTCAATGCCACTTCGTGTGAGGTAATCCCAAAAGATTCCGACACATCGTTATATGCAGCGGCCAAAATGGGCGTCATGCCTCCTCCAATCATGGAATAAAAGCCCAAGGATGTCAGGGACAGATCACGACGCCAAGCGGGCCAGTTAAGCGGATCATTAAGTGAATCGTCCGGCTGAGGGTCCAGCACAATCGCGCCATCGGCTGTCCGCTTTTTCTGGGGGACCGGAGTACGAGAGGAGGATCGAGAGGGAGGATACGGGGAAGGGAAAGATGACGCAGACGTTCTTGCAGGCTGCTGTCGAAGTCCAAGGGGTTCGTTTCTGTTGGAAGCGAGTAAAAGCACCGTACCTATTTACAAGCAAAATTAGAAAGAAAAAAAAAAAAAAAAAAAAAAAAAAAAAAAAAAAAAAAAAAAAAAAAAAAAAAAAAAAAAAGAAATTTTTCTTCTTGGTTGGAAACGCTGCGTACGACGGACGCATTTTTGAAGTACTTACCAGGCACCTCCTCAGTCTCCTTATCATTGAGAATACCCAGAGACCACTTCTCCCGTTGTGGATAGGGATCATTCAACGCATCAGATCCATCCTCACTGCCAGTCTTTATTCCCAGTAGCTTCTTCCATCTAACTTTATATTGGACTGGATGGTCCGAGTCATTGGCTCCAGATTCATCAATATCGCCAGAAGTTAGTGTTAAGGAGGGGCGAGGCGGTGTTGGATCAGAAGACATGAGGAATGCGTCGAGTCTAGGCTTTCATATAGCGAGTGTCCTAACGTCGTACGGTTCTCACTTAACGACGGGGCATCGATGAATGCGTTGTGAGGAGATTGGGGGGAACAGAGACCAGGAAAAATATTCGTTCATCAATGAAACGGGGATCCGGAGAGGAAAGAGAATATTCACGGATCTCAAAATTAAAAAGAAGTGTTTATAAAATATTTAAGGTGAGATGACCCCAAAGAAACGCAATTGAGGCCAGTTAACGGGCAAGATTGCACACCGTGCAAGATATCTCGAAGTACACCACCAGGAGATCAACGTTGGAAACGAGGGAAAGGGGAAATATGATGGAACCACGGTTGCAAGGAAAAAAAAGAAATGAAAAATGAAAAATGAAAGAAAAAGAAAAAAGGAACAGAGAGAGAGAGAGAGAACACAGAAGGGTAAGGGCAGGACAGGTGAAGAGAGGGGGGCGGGGGAGGAGGGGAGGATGAATGAAGTCGGCGGAGAAAGAGATAAATATAAATCATTGTTCAAATGAGATTCTACTGGTCCCAAAGAGAGAATGGCCGCTGCGGGAGATGGCGCAGCGCTGGGAAAGCTCGGGGCAGAGCCACCCCCGGGATGAACTTGTGACTGGACTTGGCTGCAGCTATCCCATTGTATCCACCAAGTTTCCCCCCCCTCTCCACAGCGCAAGAAGTGCTAGCTACGTGCTCATGATAAATAGAATAGATCATGTATTGTGGCTGCGAGCTGGAGACTCGGAGTAAATCAAGGAAGAAGACTGACTGGCAACGATCTGATATTTAATTGTCCAGCACAAGCTCCTTGGCTCGGCCTTGGCTCGGCCTTCAGGCCTGCGACCCCTTGCAGCCCACATGCTTTCTTTCACGTGATATCTGCGGCTTGAAGGCTTGAAAGGAAGAAGAAGAGCAGCGAAGCGTTTCGTCGGGGTTCTTCAGACAGGCCCTTGGCAGAACCGAGCTAGGTACAAACAAGTATGTAGCAACCGATCTTTTGCCCCCGCTGCAGACGTTGAGGGACGTCTATTTACGCACATACGCACGTTTCCCTTGCCCAGCATTCAGATTGACTCCGCGGGTATCTATCTTGCCGCCCAAGGCACTCCAATGTGAGCATGCGGGGGACACCCGCATCGCCTATCTGCAGGCTGCGGCTAGTGAGCATTCCATCGCCACAGTTTGATCTGCTGACTCGGAGGCATGCAGGGACTAATCACCGCCGCTGCGCGAGGTATGCTCCTCTCATCCATCATCTGATAAGAGTTCTCCGGAATGATGCGGTCATCGTGCATGGTCGCGGTGGTTGTCTCCTCCAACCTAACGTTCAATTTCTCTTCACGAAATAGGCTTCATGGCGCTGTCATCGTCTGTCTGGACACTGCTTCGTTTTGCTTCCTTTGTTTCAACCCTTTTTCTTGAAATGTTGTGCCTGCGTTGCGAGAAGGTGATTTCATCTCAGCTACGCTGGCTAGTGCCTGCATGTAGGAATCCCGCAGCTGTTCCAGGATACCTCAACTCATAAGACACGTCAAACCCCCTCTTGCCTTGCGTTAGCGGAGTCGAACGTACTCAACTTTCCAACTTGAGCTATCTATAAATTAGAGAATATTTCCCCAGGTGTGATATCTTGCTTCTTTCAGTTCCTCGGTGTGTATAGTATGTCCTCGCAGGACGTACCTCTTCTTGCGTTTTTAGCTCACCTGATAATGATACCCAAGCCATACTGAATAAGATAGAATCACGAGCGATTGAATTAGAAGTCAAGAGAGATGAAAAACTCAACAGAAAGCCCTCAATGCCTCAATCAAACTACACAAAAGGTACATACACCCTTTTGCTTCTGGTGGATGAGTGTCGTCTCTGCTCAGTCAGCCGCGAGTTGACCCCACACCAACAACACGATGACTTTGACTCTCTCAGGACTCCCAAGAGAACATGACTATGGCTTTTCGCGATGCATGATTTCTTTCTGGTCATGTACTGCTATCTCATATATATATTTCTGTCTTCTATTTCTTCTCTTTTCTTCTACTTACAGTACTTTATATGCCGTATTGTTACTCGTCTCCCTATCTGTTCATCAAGTGGACTCTTTAACAGCTGTACATTTCCGGTGAGGATATATATTCTCTCCAGCTCCACTCATATCCAGATAAGCAGATATATCTCCATCCTAGTGAGAACAGAACTCTTTTAGGCTTCATCCTTGTGGCGCCTCTGTGCACATGCTTAATTTGACAAACCTTCCAACACCAATAACCTCCATCACCCGCAAAAGTCAGCACTTGATATAGGCAACATATACCACAGCCACTCCTATGGCTACCCGATTCTGCTGAATTTGCAATCTCGGATACCCCTTCACGCGTCAAATGGTCGTCTTCCGTCTTCCAAATATCCTGTGTAGGAACAAAAGACCACAGACAACAGCTACTGTTTCAACTCCTCCCGCTCAAATGCCAGACGGTGACAGCCTGCTGCAAGGGAGTCATCAAGATAAATCACCCTGTCCTCCCCATCCAAATGACCAGAAACAGTCCTGGACATTCAGATATCTCTCTTCCGCTTTGTCTGGAAGTGTTGGATGGACTGTACCTGCTATCGATCTATCTATCTCCTCTATGCTCATCGCGAAGCCTGCAAATGATACCAGCAACAACGTATGCAGACTTCCACCCTCAGTAAAGAGACAACTCTTCGATTCAACCATCAAGACCCCTACAAGAAACACAGACATACCTCTCCCAACCATAATCCACCCCAACACTCCCTTATCTCCTTCGTCGTCTTCACTGTCATCATTCTCCACCTCCCCAACACGAACCAAACCATGCTCCACCCGCTCCACCCGCCGCCCAACGCAACTAAAACCAATTCTCAAAACAGCAATCTCAGAAAACCTCCCACACACCAACCGCCACACCTCCCAATCAGACACCCAAGCCAACACATCTAGGAACGTCTTCTTGACGCTGAACGATGTTTCCAACTTGGATGAGACGGTCCCACCCCGGCACTTTTCCACCAGTCAATCGCCCTCCACTCACATGAGCCGCCATTCATTGTCATTCACCTCGTCACGCTCGCTGGTATCTCTAGATGATCCCGATCAGATCACCGAGACAACCGTTGAGCATCCTTTTGGTAATCAAGAGGCCAAAGTTGAGAAAGCGCAAAGAGGGGTGATGGACAAGAAGCGCGCAAGCAGTTGCGGCGGGGGGCCTGGTGAAAGTGTTGGTATGGGTAGGGAGATCGGGGCAAGTGGGGCATCAGATTCCTGCACCACCAACCGGAAAGCAAAGAAGATGAAGCAAAAGATGGTGCGGTTTGATCATGTTGATGTTCATCCGTATGAGGTTGAGCGAAGTGGGGAATCTTGCTTGAGCTTCTACAACGAGCAGTTTGTGGTTCCTAAGCTTGATCTAGATCTTGACCTAAAGGAGTATGTGGTTGATATTCCGGATATAATTGAGAGGTGAATGAAGCATTGAACAAGGGGATCCCTGGAGGACACCTGGAGGATGTAAGGTTTATTTGATGGGTTTGTGCAGATCATGTTTTTATTTTCATGTTTTCTTAAAGATTTAATATCGGACAACCGCACTGAATTTTCTTCCCTTGTGTTGATTGTTTTATTTTATTTTATTTTATTTACTTCATTTTGTAGCTATTAGGGTGGAATGTACATTAATCATTAAGACATGGATCTTCACTAATAAGTACACCACATACAACAGAGATACAAAAGAGTCACTGCATCATTGCATCACTGCGTCACTAAATCACATTCTCTTCATAGTGAGGTAATCATCGTCGTCCCGAGAACACAGACCTGGAGATAACAGTGAAGCTGCCGTGGGGCTGCTAGGTCCAAAACTGGAGAAGAGTCCTCCTGAGAGCCTCTCAGACGATGGAGTCGTAGCAGTGATGGGTGACGTTGTCGGCATTATCGCCAACTTTGACGTAATGGGCGGCCGGAAATCGACTACAATCCTCGTCCTTTCAAAACAAAGCTCCTTAAGCTGGTCCCACGTTGCGCCGTTTCCAATAGCGACGCGGAAATCTTGAATGGTCATGGGCGACATCCAGCTCCCAGTCCTGGGTTTCCTAGGGATAAGGTCGTTTAGGACGTCCTCACAATCATCTAATGGGGTGGGAGGAGATGATTTGGTCTCCCCATCGGCGATCACATCACTATCATCATAGTAATCATCATGAATCTTGTTATCTGCGTCACTTATTGATCCCATCCCTAGCATCTTTACCTCAAGCTTCGGATTCTTCCCTGCCTTCTCCTTTTTCCACAATCTTGCAAAATCCGTTGTTGGATATAGGTCCGGATATATTGGTATAACCCCTTCTGGAAGGTATATATGCAAAAACACCTGCGTCGCAACCAGTGCCGTCTCTTCGCATACAGACCCGCTCTGGCAGATGGGAACGACGAAGTCATTTATGTGGCATAACCCATCGAGTCCCAGGGCGGCAGCTGTCTCTGGATACTTCCATTCACCACCTACGAACTGGGCCAGCCTCATGACAATATCACGAATGATTTTCGAACAGGGGCTAGTTCTGCTATTGTCGTGTTTAAAGGAAATGGGACAGTGAAAGAGTGTTGTTGCTCTTGCCGGATTGTCGGGACAGGTGGCGCAGCGAGTATCTGTCGCTTCAAGGATGCTTCTTTCGTGAAATGCTGCAATGCGTTGGTAGTTTTCGTAGTGGAGCTGGCTGGCTGTGCTGGTGCCCGTGCCTGTGCCCGTGCCGTAGGCAATAAGCATGTCCATTGGCCAGCTGGAGGTGAATATGAACATGGATAAGCGTTTTGGACGAGGTAGTTCGTTAGGGTCGACGATGGGGATCCCACAGAAGACAACAAGACGAACAGATTGCATGCTCTCCAGGCTCATGTGGCGGTCTGATAAGATTCTGTTGCTTTGCTTAAGGGAGATCTGCTCATCCTCGCTATCATCGTATCTATTGTTATCGGTCTCACCCTGACGCATGATTCCCTCCCAGCTAATGCCACTCAAGACGCCTTTTGAAATGGACTCTCTAGAAGAGATCCTAGATGTGGACCGCTTCCCATCGCCTTCCAACCCCTTGAGAATCCCCTGGATAAATGAATCAATAGATTTCTCCACAAGCTGCTGGCACTCCCCATCCGGTTCGCATATAGGTACCGCCAACACATTCACATATGTGTTTAGCTCTTCCTTATCCACCTCTCCATCCCTCTCAACAATCCCAATAGCCTTCATAATCTTTTCATTCGTATCAAGGTCGGGCACCAGATGTGCAACAGCCATCATTAGTCCACGCATCCACTTCCCATCCTTCAACATCTCATAACCAGCCACCGAACAACACAGCGGACGATACACCAGAGCGCCAACTCCACCGGCACCAGCACCACCACCACACCCCGCACAGGCTCCCCCACAAAGCCCCCAAATCTCGTCATTAAAACGTGCAGCCAAATATGCCAACTCTTGGAACTGTGGCAACTCGCTCTCCGCCTTCTGGTAGAGACGGACAGCACTCCTCCCTTTCCCCTTTCCCCCCCACTTCCCCTCCTGCGTCAGCGGAGCCCTGGCACAGCTGTCAAAGAACTCCTTATGTATGGTCGCGTTGTCCACAAAGGTGGCGTGTCTGAGTTCTTGACGGGTCAAGTCTGGTTTGCCGTAGAAGACGCTGAAGGTGACTGGGACTTCGCGCTTGCTATCGCGTGTAATTTGAGTGATTTCGGTCCCGGCAGTAGCGTTCTCCGAATTTACGGAGGGAGTGGTTGAGCGGCGCCGACGGCCAAATATAGGTGGCGTCATATCTTTTATCCCCTTGCTTTGGTGGTTTATTTTGTTCCTTGAGTGGACGGGATTGAGTTGATATCCAGCAGCCGTTCTTTCTTCCCTGACTGAGCCTTTTATATATTGGCCTCGCAAAGCTTTTTTTTGCGGATTGAGGATTGCCAACAGAAGATTTCGCGCGGTGCACTCAAACGTAATTGAAAAATGGAATGCTTACTTAGCTGTTGACGCGCAGCTTTGAGAGCCAGCATCGACGTAGTTTAGGGAGCCAGGTTAAATATTGAGAAGTTCGGAGTTCCGTAGATATATCAGACAACGATTCTGACCAAAGAATGTATGGTAAACGATGGAAGTAATTTTGGCCTTCTAATCTCTGTGGGTAAATTAGTAAAATGAGACAACGGATTTTTTTTACAGACTGGTTAGGTTATATTTGCTCTCTAATGGAAGATAGCTCTCCAGGAGGGAAAACAACTGAGTACACAACAGAGAGGGACTGAAATAGAATTAGCTCAGGCAACAAGTGTGTAACAAGAAATCAGCTATTTATAGTGTATATATGCATGGTGTTGTTCCTGTAAGAACTTTTGAATACAGCTATGTGTGTAATAATATAAACACGACATGACCACAGATGGAGAAGACAAAGGAGAGATATAGTGACACAATCTTTCTTCTTCAAGGTGTAGAATATTTGCAAAGATTCTTCTGGGACGCAGGAGGGAATAGTGAGAAAATGGATTAAAGGGTTAGAGTACACAATACGTAGGAATGCGCGTAGGAAGAAGAGTCCAAGCTAGCACGGAATTTTAGCCATAGTAACAGTCCCATTCGGAAATCAATGCAGGCTTTTATTATTCTTTGCGGAGTAAGGTGAGGTCAAAAGAGGATCCGCTAAGGGTTCTCATGCCATCCAGAGCAGAGGATGAAAAAGGAAACATGTATAGACCGCCCACATATTCCGGTGGATGGCAAAGCAAATGGTTTCACCTGGGAAGAAAGTAAAGCCAAATTAAAACACGATAATAAACAAACAATATAAAAAGGCACAAATAAGTTAGCAGGATATCAAATCAAAATGGCGGCAAAACGGTGAAAAAGACGGTTGTTAAAACCAGTCAGACGAAAAGGATAAACAGTAAGTAGTTCCAGGACGCCAGTATATCTGATACGTGTGCCTTTATTTTTATGCAATACGGTCGTTTCGAGTTTCAAGGAGGAAGATGTAGGGAGACGAATGAAGCAGATATGCGAGTCCGATGTGGGCCGTTAAAATGAGGCTTGGCCAGACCCATCGTTTTAATCAAAAACAAACGCCTCTAACATGTATATGAAGCCAAAAATGAAGAACGCGATAGCACCACCAAAAGTAACTGTTCAACAAACATCGTCAGCTTTGGCATCGTAGGGGGAGCAAAAGGTTTTTTTTTTTTTTTTTTTTTTTTTTTTTTTTTTTTTTACTAGACTTACCAACGCGCATGCTAACTTTGCCAGCAACAGCCCGCCCCCCAATCACTGCCGCTGCGGTACAAACTCCATGTCCAGTTATCGCACCACAAGTAACCCACCAGTAATCCTGGCCAGCAGCCATGGCAATTGTAGCGATCTGACTCCGATCACCCCACTCTCCAAGGAAAGTCATAACAAATGTCTGAACCCATGCGGGACTCAACAAGAGGGAAAACAAGTTGTTCACGCCAACCATGATATTTCCTACAGACCTACCGTGGGAGGGGGAGGTGTCCCGGGATGATGCTGATGAGAGACTTTCGGGTGATGGAAGGCGGTGATTTGATGAACGATTCTTACGCGGGACACGACCGGCTTCCAGCTCATAGAGGCCGGCAGGCGAATGCCTTCCGGTTTGTCGTTGTTGGTGTTCTTTCTCCTCCAGTTCCATTTCTACCTCCTTCATCTCCTTTCCCACGCCCTCATCTGGCGCCATTTTCCTTGCTTCCAAAATCATCTTGAAGCCAAAAAAGAAGAAAAGGACACCGGCTACAATTTTGGTAAAGGATTTCGGTATGAGAGTAGGGACGGCGTGACCAAGAATAGAGGACAACACCGTCATTGCGATAAGAGCAGTGAAGGATGCCGAAAAGACTACCATGCGAGGATGGCGCATAGCCATCAACGCAGCAACAAGGAATGTTTTATCGCCCACCTCGGAGAATATAATCATGGTGATCGAAAGGACGAACGAATGCAGAGGCTGTACGAATTCGTTGCTAGGTCCAACATACGTGTCGTGAGATTTAGATGTCGGAGGAACTGACTGGTCAAGACCCAGAGGCTTGCTAGATCGGCCGGGCGGTGTGGGTGGAGGAATACTGTGTGGTGATTCTGGTAAATCCTGGGGTTTCTATGAGAGGAGAGATAGATTAGTTGCGAATATGCGACTTCGCGTAATGAAAATTCTCCCTAACCTCCAAGACTTTATCTTTCTTCAAGTCATTAGCTTCTTTCTTTGATTTAGTGACATCACCAGGTGTGAACTTCTGCTGTTCACTGAGCGGCAGTGGCGGAGCTGCTTTTGGGGGATCTGGCTTTTTCTCAATTCCAACCTTTGCTTCCTTAGTCTTCTCGGAAACACCACCCTCTGTGCCCCTTGTGCCCTCCTTTGGCCCAGGTCGATTCGGATCATCCATGACCCCATCGTTAGAGGTAGGAAT